ACTTGAAGTAGCAATCAAAGTACATTATTCGCTAAAGAATTAGGTGACAGTTTTGATAATCAAGTAGAGTCTCGTTCCAAGTGATCACAAATGAGTCATCTACGTGATCCTCTTCAATATGCATAAAAAATATACTATTGTTCTTATTCCCAAATCTAGATAAATCTCAATAAGAACAAGGAAAATTCTTGTGGTACATTATGGGATCCATAAAAGGATTTAATGTACCACAAGAATTGTCCTAAGAACAATGCAATCTTATCAATATAAAGTGTCTAAATTTATATACCGATTGTGAAAGACATATTTTGGCCATGTCATGAAATTGTGTCTCACTATACTCGACCATCGAGTATACAATTTGTAACATCCTATATGATCATGGAACTTTAAATAATTGTTTCAAATTGCAACACGCAAATAATCGAACGTTAATTTATAAGTCTTTAAAAGAACAAGCTCCAGGAAAAATGTTATTTGTATTCAGGCGAGGCTACAATCTACTCTGTGAAATAAAAAATGTCATATTAGATGTTACTTAAATGATACACTGGAATCTTCAGACTCTTAAGTTACTAATTGATTATGCTAAAAATTATATTTTAGTAGATTTTAATAAAAATTGAAGAAATGTATGGTTGAAGTTGATAAAAATTATGTATCTTGTGAAATGTGAGATTAAATTAATTATTTATTGTAACTTAAATTTTTATTAATTTTTTTTAACTAAACCAGACAAATTTTAAGATTCATCACAATTCACTAGACTCGTCAAAAAGTCAAATTAATGTCTAACATGAAGCTGCAAGTTGCATATTTAAACATGCACATGAGATGGACACAAGAAGTCCTGCAAACGACAATTCGAATCGGATAGTAACCAAAGGTGGTTAAATAAATCAGTGAGTCGTCGTCGTCTTCTCCTTCCTAACGGAAGTCCACAGGACCACGCCCCAACCTGTCATCTCCATGTCTAAAGTTTTTTTATTTTTCTAGTGTGTATTGAATAAATAAGTTTGGTCCAATATGTTCTGAGTTTGAATAAATAAATTTGTTCTATTTTTTTTAATAGCATAGAGACTATAGTCCCTGTTTGGTGGTGATTAAAATCATATTCTTAGTAGATTTTAATATAAAAGTTGATAAAGTGTATAATTAAAAAGTTGTGGGTTCCATAAAATATGTGATTTGATTAAAATCTGAATTTTAATTTTTACCAAATAGGATAATGTAAAATTTAGAGACGGGTCACGGGTGCATGTACGATTTGAATACACACGAATGAGTATACATTATCAGTATGTTAAAATTCAGAAAATGGACCGTTGTACAAATCTAGAAGACAAAAGGGCACGCGGAACTTTTTGTAGTAAGCACAACGCAGAGGATAGCAATTGTGTGTTCACTGTCGGGTGAAAACCAAGAAATGTGTGTATTATTCTAAACTTGCATGTCCTCCAAAGAATCTTGTTCTTTTTCTGCCCAACACGACTTTTAATTACTTAATTAACTAATTAATCTTAGCAATTTAGTGATATTACGATTGTCATATATGTATATAATGGTTTATGTTAGGTAAATATCACAAGTGTATGAAATCGTTGACAAGTAATAATGTGATGAGTTGAGTTATCGTCTCACGATGAATAATTGCTAACTACGGTTTACGATTTCTATCAAATTCAATATTTATCACACAAAAGAGTCAGTTGTTTTTGCAATTATCCTAAATTAAGCTACTAGTAATGTAAAAGATAGATTTTTATCAAATTATGAAGTGTGTGTATTGAATTTAGAATCCACCTACTGACATCCATTTTTAATTCTCGAATTTCATTGTTTAGTTTAAGTGTTCGTGACAATCAATAATCATACGTTGTTTAATTTTCTTTTTTAAGATAAACCAAACTTATACTAAGCACGACCCGATCCTATTTCTAATCTGAATTCATATGCAAAGAGATGCATTCAACCACTCGATATCAAACAAGATTGCACGCACCACAAATATTATTCCTAATACCTATTACTCATGTGTCAATTATACAAGGTTCTAACCTATTACGAATCTCCTAACACTACAATAAACAACAAGTTATCGAATGATAGCTAAGCAATTAAATAACATGATAAACATGGATAATTAATCACAAAACACAAGAGATCACTAAAATGCTCAATATTTAAATAAAAAACACATGACCAATGGTTTCATTATTCATCCAATACAAAAGAAGTTTTGTCGAGCATTATAATATTCAAATTATACAAAAGTTATTGAAAAGATATCACTCGTATGAAATAACCAGAAGAAGATATTGAAAACTCAATTTCTTCAACAATCCGAGCCTTAAATCTTCAATTCTTGTTGTAAAACTCTTCTTAGTCTCTTGCTAGCCTCTCTTCAATGATAAAACAATGTTTTTAAAGTTCTGAAACTCCTTTAGGTTATAAAAGATGCCAAATATATTATCTCAAAACTTATTGAATCCTGAAAAGGAAACAAAATTTTCTCCTCGATTTTCTTCAAGGAGCCAACCTAGTTGAAATTGGGACGTGTGCCTCTAAGAAAGAAAATGGCTTCAGTTGCCCATGTTGGGTGGCTAGGCGCGCGCCTGGAAATTTGGACTAGGCACGTGCCTAGTTATGTCCCAAGGAGTGATCATTATTTTTGACATATCTTGCTCTCTCATTATTCGATCGAAACACTTCAAAGTGAGTTGGAAAACTAACTCAAAGGACTACAATTCTTCTAGAAGTATTATTGTTCCAATTCGAACGTTTGATATGCCAAAAATGGGTTTCAATCTGAGATTGAAAATTTGGAGCATAACACCTTTTATTGGAAATTGATATGTGAGAGTACTTTGACTATATTTCACCGATTTTACTTCTTTTCTCATCCAATTGACCTCTAATACTCTCGAATCTTCATCATCGGGTCAGACACAACTTTTGAATATTTACACTTTAGTCCCCAAACATTGGATCTCTTACAATTTAGCAATTTTCATACGTTTTCTACAATTCCGTCATTTATGTCGATTTATACCTAACAAACACAATACACATAGAATTAAGTCATAATTCATCAAAATAACTAATAAATACTTTAGTTTAAAGGCTCAAATAAGTATACAAAGCACACTTATCAGTTTACATACACATGATTCGGCAAGATATGATTGAGTTAGAATTTTTTTAGCCAAATAAGAAAAAAAAAACGTTTCCCCCCTCTTTCTGACACATCACATGTGTGTAAATCATTATGTAACTCTTTATATACAAATAGCATTATTCGTGATATTAAACATATGTTTGACAAAACTTTTTTAGATTATAAGTTGTTGGGTCAAGTTAAAAAAAAAAGTGATAAAAGTTGTGGTCTAATGAAAATATAGTTAAAAATAATTTTAATAATCTTTAAAAAAAAAATTGTATCAAACTGGAGATAAATATATGGATTATATATGATAATCACGAAAAGCTCGCGTCAGTAATATTTTATTTTATTTTTAATAAAAACCAAACATTATTTTATCCTTGAATAATGCTACGTGGCATTAAGTGATAAATTCAAAAATATAATTAGACCTATCATTTAAGTTATTATATCATAGTTAATAGTCAAATTGAAACTACTGATTTGGCTTGGGATCGACGAATTGGATATATGTACACCACAATTTATATATTTGTTTACCAACCGATAAATAACGAATTTTGATTTGATCAAAAATTTTAGGGCTGTCCGTGGGTCGATTCGGTTCTGAAGAGACCTGAAGAGACCCGAACCGACCCAAAAGTTTCGGGTATTTAATAAATGGAACCGTCGGGTCCAAATATAATTATGGAACCGTTCGGATTCGGTTCCGTTCGGTTCGATTCGGGTTGGTTCGGTTCCATACCATAATTAATTTTTTTTAATATTTACAGCAACACTACATAAATACAATTAATGACATTTCATTCATCACTTTTACAAATTAACGTAGCCTAATTCAAAAACATATAAATAACTAGTCGTCCAATATGATTAATTCAATGCATACAAATACCAAAAAAGTAGATATTAATATTACAGTAACACTATATAAAATATATTCATTTGTTTCAAATTAAAATGGGCTAATGGGTTTTAAAAATGATTTGGGCTTTAAAATTAAAATTATGAAATAATCTGATTTATTTAATTAAATTGCTAATTTATTCAGAAAAAATAAAATAATTTAATTAATTCAATATAAAAAATAAAAAAATTATTTAGTTTCGATTCTTATTTGGTTTTTCGGTTTTTTGGTCTAGACCCGAAACCCGACCCAAACTCATCGGTTCTCGATTTAGGTACCCGTTCGGGTATTTAATTTATGAAGAACCGCTCTGTTCGGTTCAGTCCTGTTCGGTTCGGGACTTTTGGACATCCCTAAAAATTTTCATCAATCAAATTAAAATAATAAAAAAAACTCTTCCACTTTCTTTTTAATATCTCATCAATCTTGTAAAATATTATATAAATGGTGAAGTATAAAAATTATTTTCCAATATTCACTCCTAATATTAATGTATACTAATTTTCCAGTATGGTAGATAAATTTTGTCGAATTCACATTAATTACAAGACATTTACAGCTGTCACGACAATTATAGGACAATCGAAGTGTTAAAACTTAAAAGTGATGGTGTGCAAAATGTGCAAAGTTGAGGCCCTTAATTGCAAATATAAAAATCCCAGGGACATAATCCTCAAGAATCTCATATTTTATATACCCAACCACTCAGGAAGAAAGAGTGAGTGTACATCCAAGAATCAAAGTAAAACAAATTTATTGCCACAGCATTATGCTTTTATTTTTTTGTTGTCCTAAAGATCAGAGTTCTGCTTACAAAGCCTAGAAAAATTCGTAAATAACTACCATGTGTTCTTCCAAGAAAGCCTTGTAAATCCAGAATAAAAGGTCAAAAAGCGAAGCCTCGGCCTCTTGCTCAAAACCAGATCAAGAATGGCTTCAATTTCGGTTTCCACGTACATCATGGCTTTCTTCTTACTGAATCTTTACTTGAAAGTTGTAGCTGCAGAGCCATATCTATCATTTTCTTTCAAGAACTTTGGTAAAGATTCAGAAGAATTTGAATCACGGGTTGCTCTGTATGGTGATGCTAAGGTTTCTAATGATAGTATTCAAATTTCTGGTTCTGAGATTTCTAGTTCTGGGAGGGTCATTTACAAGAAACCTGTTCAGTTTGTTGAAGGAAACCCGAGAAATATGGTGTCTTTTTCTATGTATTTTGTGTTTTCCATGTCTAGTGAAAAGGGAGATGGCTTGGCCTTTATTATAGTTCCTGCTAGTTTTCCTTTGAATGTTTTTGATGGTTGCTCAATGGGACTGTTGGGGGACAGAAAATTAAGGTTTCTTGCTGTTGAATTTGATACTTTTAAGGATGAAAAGTATGGTGATGTGAATGGTAATCATGTTGGGGTTGATATTGATAGTCTTGTATCTGTTAAAGTGAGCAATGTTTCATCAATCAATTTTGTGCTCAATAGTGATGAAAAATTACAGGCCTGGATTGACTATGAAGCAAATTCTAAAAGAATCGAGGTGAGGCTAAGTAAGATAGGTGTCATTAGGCCAGTCAACCCGTTTCTTTCTTATCCTATTGACTTGTCACAAATGTGGGAAAATGAGGATGTTTTAGTGGGATTGAGTTCATCTGGTGGGAATTCATCGCAAAAGTGTAATGTGCATTCATGGAGTTTTAGGACGAGAACTGTCCCACATTGGATGCATTCAGAACCAATGGATCCCGAGTCTTTTGTGGAGAAGGGAGAAGAACTGAATGTTCGTAAGAGAAGTGAGTGTGTTGAGAGAATACTTGCTGCATTAATTTTTAGCACCGGATGTGGAGCATTGGGGGCATTCACTGCATTGTTTGTTTGGACTATCTTTGCAAATAGGCGTCCTGTGCCGCCGGAGGAATATATTGTGCAACCGAAGGAACATGCTTTGCAGCCGAAGGAATTTGAGTACAAAAAGTTCAATATTTCGGTAGATAAGGCAATTGAAGATGGTAAGTAGGTGTTGGGCTTGAAGATTAGTTGGTGATCCTTTTGTATGTAAATCCTGTTCATATTTGTACTTGCACGTTTCATTTAGTGCTGCTGTAATTTAATGATCAAGCATTCAAATGTAGTTATGATCATCAAAATACAGCTTCAGATTGGGAACACGGAATGTTAACTCTGAACATTACCATGATTTACATCATCATCTAACTTATTGCCATTGGTCTAAGATTATGAATTTGAGTGTCTATAACTCTTTATTTACTGGTTACTATACATGAGACACATTTCATTTGTTTCTTTCTTTGCATTTTGCTGTACGAAACCTTATGCCCTCTATTCCATGAAAGTATAGCCACATGCCAGAGTTGATGAGGAATTATTTCAGTAGTTGTGCGGTCGCCATCACTTGCATGATGCTCTCGGTTGCCTAATTATCATTTGCATTTGCTAATATTTTAAAAATTAGTTAATTAGGTCGTCTTGTTTCTTACATTAGTATTGTAAGTTCTATTCACGCATTCTACACGTCAGTGTGTGACAAAATGTGTAACCGTATACTACTTTGGAACTGGGAAATGTTGGCCTCTTTTTACTTGGGCGTACTTGAGGGAGGTAACGGTGTAAGCTGCATTTTTTAGAGTGAAACTACCTATTATGTTGGTTTTTCTGATTTTGGGATTCCTTTTCTTGCACAAAGAAAGATTCATGTGATGATGTCCCACAATTGAATAGTAGTGTAGACTCCAAACCTAATTGCTTAAACTTTTGGGTCAACTTGAGTTCTCGCATGCATTTTAAAATTCAATCATGTACATGATGAATGGATCAGGATGGAGAAAAATATGTGGAGGACATATATCGGTCATGGATGGAGCAAGGTCACAAATATAGAGCTTTGGATGAGTTGACTGTGACACAAAAGAGCTTGTTCAACTGTCTCATATAAAAACTTAATTTTTTGAGGACAAATTTATTTTTGTTTTTGGTTTTCAGGGTCTCTTCAAGATTAGGCTTATGTTGTCATCAACAGGATGATCCATTTGCAATTTTTGAAAATGTGTGTGATCCTTGGAGTGCAATTAGTTGCAAGGTGCGTATGTTTGGTATAGTTTATAATTGCTTATAAGATAGTCGAACTCTATCTTATTTTGCATATTCGATAGAACCAACAAAATTTTTGTGCTTATTATCCATACATTTTGTAGTATTCACAAACTTATAATCTAATAAGCTTTGCCGAACTTGCTATGTGCCACCTCTAAACAAGGCGATTTACAAATAGCTTGACATTGCTGTAAAACAGCCGTTGACAAACTGTACGGATATTCATCGTGCAGGAAAGCAAACATACTCGAAGAAAAAGCACTATTCTTACATTCTTCAACTTATTTCTCGCGGACGGTGGCCTAAGTCGCCACCTTCTGGAAACTTCAAAGAAAAGCACATTCTGTAATGGAATTTGTAGAACTTAATTATATCAAATAGTTCATCAGATGTATTACCACCTGTGTAGATTCTCCAGCAAAATTACATTGTCTTTTCTTCTGATGCATACCGAGGTCTACCCAATGCCACTTCCAATTTCTACTCTTTTCTTCTGATGCATACCGAGGTCTACCCAATGCCACTACCAATTTCTACTAAGTGCCTATAAACATTATTTTGTACTATCCCAACTAACTAGTAACTTTTACATTCCTGCCATCTTCCACCACCTCGTACATCTGGGGAACTCCGTACCATGCCACTGCACCTCCACAAGTACCGCATTGCATTAAAATAGCCCAGTTCTGCATAGAATCACTGTAGTCTGTACAATTTCGGGCGAAATTGTATTGCTCATTACAGTAGAGCATATGATCATTCAACAGGAACCACTTCATCTTCAACTAAGGCATAGACCACTGCAGTTCTAGAAGGTGCATAGATCATAAAAGATCGAGGCCGCTTATCATACCACCCATCCTGTGCAGATCGGGGTTGAAAAAAAATTAGTATTATCGTTCTTTTTTTTTTTTTTTTTTTAAGGAAAATGTGATGGAGTTTCTTACTGAGGTAAAATACTCTGCATCATGACTAATTCTACTGAAGCCTCCAAATAATGGATCATCCGAGTCCAACGCTACCTGAAAAGGTAGCACTTTGATGAAGAGTAACCCAATCAATTCAAGAATGTGAGGACGAACTAATGCACCTTCAGTAACTTTCAAAAAAGGAAAATAGCAAAGCAAAACATTTAACATACCAAAACATTAGGTGGCCAGATCATCAAGCATTATGTGGATTCGCCAAACCAAATATTGCCATAATTAAGACATTGAGATGCAGTTGCTCAATCACATATTAATGTTCTAGCAAAACCAGGCACCCAATCATAGAGGATGTTGCAGTACTTACAATTTGGTTCCAAGATTGTTGAATTTATTAAGAGGAATCATATTCTAGGATCATGGACGCTGGTCGTGGTGCCGTGTGTGTGTATGTTGTTGGGAGGTTAGACTAAATAGAAGAACATGCATTGTTTTAATGCCGAGTACAATACTTTGTGCCACTTCATAAGATTTTAAAACAATGAGTTATGTATTGAACATTAAAAGCCTCTTAAGATCTTTTGAGAGAACCATTAATGCAGTTAACTTCCAAAATGTTAGTATAGCAAAACAGGACAACTAAATAGCTTCCTGTTATTTACAAAAATGATCTATGCTACTCCCTACATCTCATAATCACGTGAAACTCAAGGGTACTCAAGTTGATTGTCTCAATAAACACCATTACCATGCTTTCTTTCCCCATGAAGAAAGTAGTAATTTGCAAAACAAGGGCAGCCTTCTAATTTTTAGGCAAGAATATACTTGAAAGGAGAAACGCCCAACCACACTACCCAAATGAGAGAGAGAGAGAGATGTTTCACTTTACCTTATATTTTCCTGGCTGTAGGCAGCCTACCCGATAGTCAGAATAACTGTTTGTCCAATGAAAATTGAAGACAAAAACCAAGTTCCCCCTTTCGAACACAATTATCCTATCTCCTTCATCCTTACGTGATATGTACTGATGCTCCGACGTCATAAACTGTAGAAACATGAGATAACTTTAATATCGATATGCAAATATATGAAGATTAAAAAAATCAATACTGATGTGCGTGAAACTTGAATAATAAGTGATCAAAATTAGGACAAGATGGAGAGCAAAGCCAGCAGTAAATTATGTAAAACTTCCAGCTCAGTTAAGCAGGTTAATGATCTTTCTTTCCATAAAGTTTCACCTAAAGTTATCTTCATTTACTGTAGTGCTGTACCTATCTAACAAGAAAGAGGAACAAGCTCGCCTAAACTTGGTTCGTGGGTCATCGCCATCATACAGGATGTGGAACTCCACACAGGCCATAATCCCTTTCCTTAACTTTGATAATGATGAAAAAAAAAAGTGTTAGATTCTACTTCCAATGTTAAGAAAATAAAATTGTTGAACCATTTCATTTAAAGGTTTAAACTGTTAGAGAAGGGACATTTAATTATTTGAATTTTCTTGAACATGCTCCTCGCATGCAGACTAGATTCTTTCCATCAAAGCAATGACGTTCACAATTTTCATCATTGGTATGCTACTAAAATTGAGATATGATGTTAAATTTAAGAACCTCATTTAAGAACTTAACCTGTTGGTCACATTTATCTATTTAGATTTTTCGTCCATAAAAATGCAGAAAGATGACCATTTCAGCCAATTTGTGGACAATGCTCATAGAATTTGTCCATAAAAGCAGGGTACTCCCGTTTGCTACAGCTTTACTTGAGTTCACAATCTAAAACCACAAAGAAAAATAACCAAACCACCTCAAAGTTGGTCACGTAATCAACCTACAGACGCTCCAATCTCGGTAGCCGCTAGTTGTATCTATTGTTCCAAATATGTTCTCAAACTAAATGAGACCACAACTCCACAAGTATATCACATTAGACTCAACTAAGACCACAAAAATTGCCTTGATATATAAGAACAAACAAGATTACTCATGTCACAGGCATTTCCTCAATTCCTAAAGAAAGAACGTTTAAAAAATGCAGGGACAGCCATAGCATTTACCATTGAATCCCATGGCAGCATGAGAATTTATACAAATCTTAAACATCAACGTTTTAATGCATCAAATATTTTTCCTTGGATTAAGTAGGGAAGGAGATCAGAACTGGAATACGTACACCATATTTTTCTTCAAGATGCTGCATCTCCCGATCAAATTCTTGCATTCCACGATATCTCAAGAAATCTGCATCACCCTGGATACGCATCAAGTGTCATTTTAGAGACAAATGCACCAGTTAACTTAGAATTCATGCCAAATGACTTCGAAAGTCTACCAAGAAAAAGATTTCACCGATTTGTCGTTAAGAGATAGTTCACAACAAAAGAATAACAAACAAACGGCTCTTGCACTTTAATTTATTTTCATTGAACTTGTATTCATATCAACCAAGCATAAGAGAGAACAAAGCTGTGTTTTTTGCATAGTGTAATATATAGTGATGGAAATAGCCTAACATCATCTTCAGTGCAGTAAAATGGAGTCTCCAATGTGAAAATATATAAAAATAAAAAAACACCGTGCCAAATTTAGTTTGATCTGGCATTGATTTTTTAGGGGGAAAACATAATAAGTTGTATTTGAATCTAAGTGGTGCCTAAGCTTTTGTATCCTTTAAAGCATTTAAATGTAAATTAGTACACGTAACACCTACTTTATCACCTGTTCGCCTCTGCCTTCCACCCTTTCTTAGTAGTGGTCCTTCTCAAGTAGCTGAAGTACTAATGAACTACTATATTCAATAACACGGAAGAAATTGATTCCTAACATCAGTGAAGAGGCCATTTCCCTTTCCAACATTCTTAAAAAGGCTTTCACTGTGGAAATAATTTATAAATTATAAGCCTTTCTAAAACCTATCATTCATTGTCATGCTTTGGATGCTCAAAACCATTCCTTCATACTTACTTACAAAATATTTAATCAGCTTTAAATTTTTTGAAATCAAACTTACAAATGCAAAGAAAGAAGCTAGCATAAAGCATCAGATATGAAAACTTTTTTATTAATAACAACTTTTCTAAAATCTATGATCTATACTTGTTAAATACCAATTATACCATGATCTTTATACATAGAATGTAACTTTCCTAGTTATTTACAATATTCTCAATCACCTACAATGCTTTTTATCAGAATTATAGAGAACAGAAGAAGAATAGGATGGCATCAGACTTAAAAAGGCGTGTACACTTGACCTGTTGAAATTTCCATTTTCCATCTCTCAGAAATTCTCTCTTTTTTTCCTTTTCCTTGGGAACAAGGTTTAGTTTGTTGCTCTCGACACATTTCTTTCCGATAATATGAGATTCAAGACATGAAATCGTTGCATTTATAGGGGTCCAGGCGTCTGAATAAGTAATACTATGAACAAATTTTGGACTACAGCAAAGTGTATATCATTGGGCATTTCCATACATGTCTGTGTGTGTGTATATAAAATACTCCGGCCTCTTTATATACTTGTAAGTTTTAGCGGGTCACAATCAGTCAAGGAAGTTTTTCTGACACTTTCCAGTTACTACACAATGATTAAATGTCTTGTCCTTGATGATTAAGGCCCTGTTTGGGAGGAATTCTCTCCCAAACAAGCTCTAAGTATGTCTTGTCCAGTAACTAGGTTTCAGCATTCATCTAAACTTGATAAACTGTTGCCAGTAATAGTGAAGTTCCACAGCAACAAAGTACATCTAATTATTTATAACAACCAGAAAAACACTTTCTTATACATTCCCTAATATCCTGAAAGAGAACACATAATAAAAGAACGACTGCATACATAAGGAATTCTTCTTACTGGAAAAGATTAATTGGAATAAGATAGAGCAAAAATTTACCAGATCAAATCTACGCCTGCACTTGTCAAAACTGTTACCGTTTCCAGGAACAAATTTTCCATCAGGAAGATGTTGATCAGCTCTAGGAAAATCTATCCATTCTGATTTAACAAAAAAAAAAAAGTCGTTGGTTTAAAGCTAAAAGTGATTTACAGAATACTGGAAAATAGAGAACATCATAAATCACTTCAAGTAACAGTATAAAACAATGCATTCCTACCAGGATGTCCAAATTCATTTCCCATGAAATTTAGGTACCCTTCTCCTCCTAATCCCATTGTGATAAGCCTTATCATTTTGTGTAATGCTATTCCACGATCTATCAAGGGAGTAGACGGTCTATCTACAGCCATGAAATCATACATATCCTGAAATGTAGAATAAAATTATATCACTGAGTTAGCATAAAAGTAGCAAATATATCATTAATCCAATTAAATGACTTCCTCCACCACAATAATGCAGTGGGAAATATATAGTCTCATCAACTTCGTTCAACAAAAATAGAAAAGACAGTACACGTGAAGATTGAAAGAGAAGTCTAATGCTTTTTGGAGAAGAAGGATCAACCTGCCACAAAACCCTTGACGTAGAGACAAAGTCCAATGACTAATTCCTAACTTACATCATTCTAACTCAAGATTCTTAAAAAAGGAAATTTATTACATTTCAAACTCAGAAGCAAACTAAAACCGCTTCACTAACAGAGAAATTACCAGAAATGCTTTGAGAATGAGTATTTATTTTCTAGAATAACCAAGAATACATGTGTATTTGTATAAGATGTGATTTGCTACATAAACATAAGCGCTGAGTATGAAATCGATAAATACTGAATTCCAAATTATTGGTTCAAATAATATACAAACTTCAGACTAGTTTTAAATTGTACGACAGATGAGATGAAACCAAGAGCTAATTTTGGCATCTGGTTTCTCTAGACAATGATCTTCTCTATGAGGCAAATATGTAAGATTGTTTGTAAGTTTATCTGTGAACTTTTAGTACACTGTCTCTCTGTTGTTCAATGAGTAAGTTCATCTGTGAACTTTTAGTACACAGTCTCTCTGCTTTAAGATTGACAATACATACTGTACCACTCAACATATGTATAACAAGATTAGATGTAACGTTATGAAATTTCAATTGGACATCTTTTGGTTCATGAACTTATTTGTCCAATAAACACATTCATACACGACTGACACAAAACAAAACTTTTGGCTTCCAAGTAATGCGGTCAATTTTTCGTTGGATTGTGCTGGTTAAATTTCAAAATGAACTAGTATTTATTTTTCTTAGAAGACCATAAGGTGTTGGATTGAGAACTAAAGAAAAGAATCTAAAACCTTATCCATTAGCCAGAATGCAATAGTTTTATCGCCAACTAGTGCTTGGTCATGACTTTCTGCATAAGCAACACATTTTTCTGACCACCTTCTATTAGTAAGTGTGTGCACAATATCTCCCATTTTCCAATCTTCATCCCTTTTCCTGCATCAAAACATCAGAGTGAAAAAGAGAGTAATTTTAAATGTAGTCAATACAAACATTAATGTTTAATCAACATGAACACTAGTAAATGATGTCATGTAAAACAAAAACAAAAAAAATTGCATTCTTGAAGTTCTCATATAATTTATCAATGACATCATCTAAATAGCAATTACGTATTAGTAAAATCCCCTGTGCGGTTGTCAGAAGGAAAAAAAAAAATCACCTGTACAGTTTCTATCTATATATAGTATAGATTTTCTCCAAATACAAATGATGCAAGCTTTATCCCACAAACTTTCCCACGTCTCCAATTTATGTCAAAATGAGGAAAGTATTCATTCCAGGATCTAAAATACATATTTTAATGCACATTGGTATAGAAATGATTAAAATGTTTAAAGTTAGCTGAAACTATAGATTAGCTCCACATATCAGATGCTATAAAAATCACCTGAACTTCGCTGTATACCATGTCTTGAGATCATGCATTTATTCATTTACGTTACATCAGTGAACATAGTATCACATTATTCTAATCTGACATCAGCTTATCCCACAAACTTCATGTCAAAAGATATATTTTTCCCACACCATCCTTTTCAATCAAAATGAGGAAAATAATCGTTCCAGGATTCAGAAATAGGCATTCGAATGCAAAATAGTACAACAACGATTCCAATGTTTTAAATTTGCTTACACATTCAATTAGAATTTCAGAAAGAACCAAAAAGAATATGGAAACTCTTCCCCTTATCTCCATTCGTATATAACATGCACACTATATGTTCACATTGAGATAACATGGCACGATGGTGCCAAATTTCCACTGTAGCTTTTGTGTACAATTATACAACACAAGTTCAAAGTCTAAATCAAGCAACAAATATAATTGTCATGCATACCACCTATTTCCCTTTTTCCAATGCCATCTCTGTGTAAACCTCACTCAGATCCCAAAACATAGTTCATTACCAATATAAGATGTCGAATATAATATTTAAATGATATACACGTGGCTCTATTTAATGGCTTAAATCTTTTAGATTAAGTGGTTCAACACAGTATCAGTGCACGCAAAAATTTTGAGTCCAAGTCCCAAGGTCACCCATTTAAATGAATTGAGCACGCCTTAGGCTTTAATGGTTAAAAATTAATCCCGCTTACACATGAGAGGACATGTTGAAAACAATGTTTTTAAAATGATATACGTGTAACTCTATATAATAGCTTAAACTTTTATATCAAGTGGTACATCATAAGAAAACCATGGGACGCTTCTTAACCAAGTGCATGAATTCAGATTCCTTTGCTCCTCTTGTAATATGGATCCAGTGTAAATATTCTTGCTAAGATTAAAAACAGGGAAGTTTGTTTAAATTAGAAATAGAAAGAAGTTGGGAGGTAGTAGCAACTTTGAGTGAGATCCGAACATAGTTTTATGGATCTTCATCTGCAATCATGTCTTCTCTTGTCATTTTCACTAGGTCGAGTCACTGCACTTTCATCCCAATACAAGTACTAGGCTAGCAAAACCCAACCCTCCCCCCACCCCCACCCCACACCCACCCACACACACCAAAAAAAAATGGAGGGGGGAGGGGGAGAACATAGATAAACTTGCATTTCCCAAATCTACATCCTACCCTTTTCTGTGAAATTGTTTGTCAAAACGTACTCTTCTATACACAAAACAATATTTCAAACAACAGGTACTTTCAAGAACAGATGTATCTAGAGCTTCGAGGACAGCATACTTGAGTATCTCAATCCATTTATCAGCAATTGCCATATGAAGACGATAGTCAAATCCAACACCACCATCTTGAACAGGAATACAGAAAGTTGGCATGCCACTGACCTGCAAAAGAAATTTGCTAAAGAGTAGATCAGTAAAGTAACTTCGATGTTTACAATAAACAAGATCTTAGATGCTAGTGAAGCATTGCCGAAAACAACATTTCTAATCGTGAGTGACCAACGTTATCTTTTTGCTTTGTAAATAGGCAATAACTATGAAATCTCAAAATGTTAAGGAACAAATATCGAATTATTGCTCCAGTTTATAGTACGAAGTGTTGGACCGTTTAAGGATAAAATCTCCATTAAGAGAATATAACATGAATGATGTTGTTAAGATGGAGCCTGAATGTCCATGCTATAAATAATATTTAATAGAACAAGAAAGCAGAATATATGCCAACCGGCGAAGGTGAAACCTAATGAGGATAAATTAAGGAAATGATGACTTAGTGGTCCTGCCTAGTCTTGCATAGAATTGAAAGAAATTTTCATTCACAAAAGAGATGAGATCCCAATATATCATGTCAGAAGAGGGAGATGTGGACTAAAACTAACACAACCTAACATGATTGTAAAGGGAAAAAAAAGGATTTGAATTTATTGGATCTCTTGATAGGAGTGGCAAAGGATTGAATGAAGTCACGAGAACAAAGATATGTAGCTAACCCCAAATTTACTGAAAAACATATACCTAAAATAGATGATGTGGTACATCAACTTGATGTAATGTATGCATGTTCTAAAATTACCACTTAAAACAGAATATGGAAAAACTACCTCCCTTACAGGGTTGAAAGCAGCAGTTGGTTTGGGTCATGGAAAGAATTAGCTTTGATGATTAACTCTATGGACACACTCAAAAAAGCAATAAAGCAGAACCCAAGTCCTGACAGGAGATTTAATTTAGGAATCCTATTTCCATAAGATGTGAACAACTTGTTCCGAACTTATTGACCTTTCTTTATTGGCATTGATGGTATTTCATTTTCAATATTTTCTTTATACAGATGATTTGACTACCTGTGTTATGATGATCTGCCCAGGCAATTTTCTTCATACCCAGCCCTACTATTTAATTCTGTTCAGTGTAAATGTCTGATAAATGCTAGTGTGTGCCAGACAACTTGAGCGTTCAAACTTATATAGATGTATATCAACAAAAAGTCACAATCAAAACATAGGATGTTTTACTGGCTAGAAGGGAAGAAGAAGTAAATGGTGGGAAATAAAATCAAGTGGAATGGGTGCTAAGGAGTTTGTACACAAACTTGTGCTGATACATATTTTTAAAAAATTTTAACATAAAACTTTAAAAATCAAGTGGAATTGGACCCAATCGATGCTAGGATTCAATCTAAACCCCTTATAAGACAGGTCTTAGGTTCAAATTTTGGGAGGTGGAAAGCCGTGAGGGGTAAAAGGGCAGATACCCTCCCAAAGTTGACAATATGTATGATATAACGGCTTGGACATGAGGCCCCGAGACGTTACACAAGAAAAAAGTATTTTGCGTCCTTCAATTTTCTTTTCTCCATCACTATGAAATCCAACAAGGGAAAAGTGAAAATGTCAAATTCCTTCTAATATTTCTCCACCCCAGTTAAAAAAACAAACATCAAACCATATTTATGGCTGCCAAATGATATTGATAGACTTACATCTTCACCAATGATTATAGCTTCAGGGAAGAGCCCGTGAATGAGGTCGTTGACCAGCATCAAATAAACTACAGCATCAACATCCGTTGCAAATCCAAAGTACTCATTGTAGTTTCCAGTAAATGCAACCTATAAGCAATAAAAACATTTGTGAGAGGACATACAAAGGATATCAAAGAGAGACTAGACACAACCAGCATCACAAATTTCTTCAATGATATTGTCATGATGTCAAAACCAAGAAATGCTAAAACTATTGATGATTTATTCATAGAAAACCTATATTTTTTATGGCCTCGATATACTTCATTAATTCAGGCATACATAGAGTTTCCCGTATGACATGTTTGATATGCATAAAGCACACTTACAGCTTTCTAACTGTTGAAGATATGGAAAGAATAATCTCTATGATATTTTTCCAATAGTATATGATTATTTTCCTTAATAGTTGATTGTATAATTATTATGCAATCTTTCTTTTTAGAGTTGTTTACAGCCCTATAAATAGGGTCTTTTACTTTGTAATATAAACAAGTTTATTATATACACTTTATAATATTCTTCACACTAACATTCTTCATACAATTTATCCAACACAAACATTCATACAATTATTTGAAGAAGAAAACTTTGTAATTTTAATGTCATTAAAACATAAGGTCATTTAGGAAGAAATGCAGTTTTCTCATTGAAAAAAGTTCAAAAACATGTAAATGGAACTTCTTATGGATAAGGTGGATAATGAACAAAGAAAAAGGGTGAAAACATGAGTATGTTTGGTAAAGTGTTTTCAAGATTGTAAGCTAGTCAAAGATCATTTTTAGTCACACATTCCGCAAGATTCATAGCTTTTATCAACGTACCGAAGGACTACAAAAAGCTTTACCAAACATACTCTAAAGCTAACTATTTGTTAGAGCATTTTCAAGAGACTCTTTATTTTAAAGAGCATATTGATCGTAATATTGAGCATCTTTAAATTTAAAGAGTAAATTTTTTATATACTCCAACAAACTCTTTATTTTTGCTCTTTATTTTACTTTTCGCATCATTCATTTGTTGTTTTTCCCTCATTTTTCAATTAATATATGTTTTCCAGATGTCAATAGCTAAAATATTGAAAATAATATGAATAATTTAAATAGAGTAATATTGAAACTTGCAATTTTATGAAACGCAATCTTGATAAAATACAAATAGCAAGTGAATTTTGCGCTATTTTACAAAAGCTAAAATAGTCTCTTGGAACCTAATTTTAAGGTTAGACTCTTTAAGGTCATCTCACTTTTTAAAAGTCTTTGAAGATGATCTTATACTCCAAGTAACAGAGAATCCAATTTTCTCAATAATCAAAATAACATTCCGAAAAGTATTACTCGAAGATAGCCCATTCTTCCATCATTTCCCTATTTGACATGACAACTATTTTCAAACTGTTAAAACAAATTTATGGAACAGCACAAGGAGCTTTGCCTATTTCGTGGCAATTACAACTGCTTTCATATATGTAAGTTCATGCAATGCAACTCATTTATTAACTACATTGATCCAATAAAGAGTACAAGCCAAGTCTCACCAACCAAGATGGAAATACCTGCAAGCCATGGTGAGTATACATCATTGACGTCACACCATCAAATCTGAAACCATCGAACTTGTACTCATCCAACCACCATCTTGCGTTAGAGAGCAGAAACCTTAATACCTACAACAAAAAATCAAAGTAGTTGCTATATTTGACGATATTCAAAAGAAGGTAAAATATTGAATAATATATTCAGTCCGTTCTAGTTTTCAAAAGTGAACATACCTCCCAGTGTCCATAATTAAAAAGTCGAGAGTCCCACATCCAGTGATAACCCTGGGATCCAGAGTGAAAGTAACAGCTATCGGTGCCATCAAACATGTTCAGCCCATCCAAAGTATTATTTGATGCATGGCTGATATATAAAACATTTGAGGTGAGGTAATAATGGGAAAAAAATATACATATTACCAAAAGAAAAGTATGAGTTAACTGCACAGTTGAATAGCATACAATTGAGCATAGCAATAACAAAACTCGGATTTTCAGGATAAATAGATTGTGTCCGGCACTCTATCCTCCTCCCTGTCCATCCCATCCCGAAAGGAGAAAAGATTCATTTTATATGCCATCTCAATCTCCTTGGAATTCATATCAGCAACTGTACTTACATCAAGCCATACCCAAATTCTGATTTCTCCTGTACATTCTGAGAATTTTAGAAAAAACCTTTTTTTGTCTCCCACTGAGCAAATCGCTTGAACCAGACCAAAATCCTCTTGCGAGCTACGGAGTAAGGATAATCATCTACCAGCATTTTAAGCCTAAAACTGGCCAGTGATGCCACATTTACCGTTTCTCCCCTGTGAAAATTATCGACCACTGCTCTAACCATCAAACTTTTTAACCAAAGCTGGAAGCATAACAATGAAGCTCTTAAACCCAAATTGAAATTCCATAAAACAATCATTCCCCATGTATTTTTTTTAATCAAAACCCCCTGAACCCCACACTGCTCTTCCACCATGAAGACTTCGACCAGATTGAGGCATGGAGCATTTTCTGCCTTACCCAGATCATTTTTCCTTCCTGACTAATCTGATATCATTAACTAGATCTTTTCCTCTTGAGATTTTGAAAGTCTTTTGCCAATCTATAACATAATATTTCGCAAATCTTCCACACATCTAACTTACAGGATCCAGAATAATCTATGAAATTAATCTGAGCTCCAACACAAATAGACAGAGTTCAAAAGAATAGCTTGTGGATGACATAATTTCTGCTTTATATTAATGATAATTTTCCTTGGCCAGATAAAAAGGAGGGGGACAACAAAAAAGACCATCATTCTTCTGCTGCAGCTCCCCCATAAACTCTTGCACATGTTTGGAAATTAACAGTATAATCTACACAGTGCTAGTAAAAATTTGGGGTCGAAATTCACATACATTTAAGTATAAAATTCAAATTAGCCTGTCTATTAATATTTTGATGATCTAAAACCCATAGAAAACATGATACTAATAGGAAGAAGTAAACAGGTTCCACTGTATCACAAAATCCACTTAAGTTGATTTTATCAATGAAATTCAATTATTACCTGTGCACAATATCCATGAGAACAACCAGATCCAACTCATGAGCTCTGTCTATCAAAGACTTAAGATCGTCAGGAGTCCCAAAACGGCTGCTTGGCGCAAAGAAATTTGTCACATGGTAACTGATGAACACAAATCAAAGGACATAAAGTCTTGTTAAAAGAGGGGAAAAGAGGAAATTCCGAGTTTACATTTACTACATTGAAAAATGACAGTGGAAGTAGTCAAGTGTAATAATTAAAGGTGAAATGGATTACCCAAAGCTGGCATAATATGAATGCTCTTGAATTGCCATTATCTGAACAGCATTATAACCTAGCTTTTTGATACGAGGAAGCACTTCGTCCCTAAAATTGGCATATGTATTGATAATAGGCTCCTACATTCAAGTTCAAGAAAATAAGAACCAGGTGAAGTTAATGTGCAGCCAACAACTATCACATCATCACAAAAGGGAGGAAGCACCATAGAATGAAGCCAAAACTTATCAACATAAGTTGGACATCATCTATAAGATTGGGGAAGTTAGCAATAACTTTTCAACCTGAAGCAATCTTTAAAGAAAGTTATAGAAAGCACTAGCCAAATTTATTGATTATTTGGCAATAAAAAAAAACCTTAAGTTTCTATATAAAATCAACTGGCTATGGGAGTAGAACGTGACAACTTTACACTGTACAAGAATGGCTTTCACAACGGAAGGTAGCCAAACTAGATGGATGAAGAAGTCACCAAATTGTCAATGCAGACATGTGAGCGAAAAGAGAGGAGGGATGAGGTAGCATGCTAGCTCGCATAGGGCATCGTCACCTTTACATTTTATGGTTGACAAGCAGTTAGTAGCTGTAAGGATCACATTCTTAAACTGGTTTCACTCCACATATTTTTATGTTGCATTTGTATTGTATTGTCTGCTGAGAAAATACACAGAGAAGCCCTAGTAGTTGCTTCTGGTTTCTGGCTTCTCAGTTTTTAAGAAGCTATAAATTCTTGCTTTGAGTTCTCAAGTCTCCAAATATTGTTCAATGACGGTAAAATGTGCACTCAAATGACTTCAAGTTCAAAAGTCTTTCCAAAATGGTAAAAGGTTATCTAGGGTGAAAATTTAACATTCATCTTAAGTTAATGGCTATTAATAAATGCAAGTTCCAGTGGATCATTTAAAAATATGCTGAGTCAAGGAAAATGCAGATAAATAAAAGCACATAAGTTTATTCATTAAATGTGAGAGAAGAGATGCACACCTTGCTACTCATTCCAACGTGAGACTCGTATATCCTGAGTGATTTTGGTTTCTCAGGCCGAGGATGTTTGAAAACATACTTCTCCTGAAAAAAACATCATTAGCCTAAAAGGAATTGAGGAGGATTATAACATAATATCTATAACAGCACCAGAGGCTGATTGAAGAAAGCAACATATAACCTTTCAAGAAAGGGGATACTCTTAAGATTTATCTTCTAAACTTGCAAATTCACGTGTAATGAACCTACAGAATTATTTCATGGATCAAAGTCCAGTGCATAAAATCTGATAAAGCTTCCAATAGGTAAAGAAATTTTTCTTGTTGAAAATTTTGCTTAAAACTTTTTGACACTGAAAAGTCACAATATGGTCATTTCCATGTCCCAGATCATCCACTGTTCACCATTTTCAATGCTAAATCTCGCTGTGAGGTACACAAATAAGGTGTAGTAGATTGTAATACCTCTTCTGGAGGATCATAATATATTCCATTGTATGGAATTTCTCCAGGAGCCTGTACGGAGAATTTGATCCAAGCTGGAATAGAATCTTTAATGCCAGATGGAGTCTCCATGCGAATCTGCATTATAAATGCACAGAGATTCATACAATCAAAAACTTCAAGGACTTTGTATACACACCAATAACCTTGCAGCAAGCTTGATAACAAGTATCCAAGTGAAGATCTTTGATCTCATGCATCTGAACATATGTAGACAGCCAGAGACACATACAAATCGTAAAAATTCATCACAACTCACAAGATGCAGTATAAAATAGCTCTTCCTTATCAAGTACACTCCATTTTGACATGGCACAAATAATTCTTTAGGAAAGAGTAGAACATGTGTATTTTCCTTTCTATCCTTTCCAATTTTTACATCTAAGCATGTGTTGCGACATGATTTTTTTAAGAAGAGTAAGAAGTGAATAAATTCTCCAGAGAAAGGTACTATTTTGAGACAGGCTGAGAAATTTTGTCAGGCTTGTATATGAGTAGAAGTACGAGAATTGTATACAAACCAATAACCTTTCAGTAAACTTAGATAACAAAGATCCCAGTACAAATCTTTGACCTCATGCATCTGAACATATGTAGACAGCCAAGCACAAAATTATAAAATCTCTTTACAAGATGCAGTATAAAATATTTCTTCCTTATTTTTTTTTATTGATAGATAATCCAATAATTTTATTCATCAAAGAAGAATACACAGGAAGTGTATTATCAACTTATACAAGAAAGAAAAGACATAAAGTTAGGCAACCCCTCTATAGGACTGCTAGTTGCGGCATTAAACCAACTATACAAGGTCAGATAAAAAAATTCTCTAAATTGCTCTGTGGTCCGTGTTTGGTCCTCAAAACATCGGTTGGTACAAATAATTCTGAAAAGTGTAGAAAATGTGTATTTTCCATTCTATACTTTCCCTTTTTACGCCTAAGCATGTATCGGGTCATTATTTCTTTAACAGAAGTATGAAGAGAATAAATTTACTAAGGCCCTATTTGGGAGGGATTCTCATTTTTCTACAGTAAATCAATTCTCATTTTCAACCACATATTCTTCAATAAAATAATATTTTCCATCACATCAATAATTTTTTCTTCTTTTTCAACCACACATTTCCCATCATATCACTATTCAAAATCCATTCTTCCCCTAAAAATCCTTACCAAACAAGCTGTAAAAATGTTGCATATATTTTGAGACATCTCCAGAAGAATCAAAAGTTGGAAATTATTTGTAACTGATCTACACCCTGAAACTAGATGACGAATAACTGAGCTAGCAAGATGTTGAATTGTTGAAGGTTCAAGAGAAGATGAGAAATTTAGTGAAGAAGAGCATATATGAGTAGAAGTACAATAATTGCTCCACCCTGTTGTGGAAGCTTTTTCACCTAAAATTGTATCAAGTCAAAGCAACTTGCACTGATGCATTGCAGAGGCAGTAGCAAACCAGTCCAGCCTGTCTTATTGGTAAATTTATCTTCACTAGTAAATTTTGACAGAGGGAAGAATTCAGAAAGGTGTGCAATGGTAAGATAAGGATTCTCCATTAGCTGAAGTTTCTAACAAAACTACTATTTGTTCAATCGAATTCATAAGAAAAATAAGGTGAAGAACCATTTCAAGAGGACAGTGAAATAACTAAAATTCATGATCCTCTGCTCTATCCCATCTACAAGTATTACCTTCACACGGGAACCATGGGGGATAGGAGGAGAACCATCTGCATTGTTCGGCAAAAAGATCTCCCAGACTCCAAATTCATTCTGCTCAAACAATTGGTCAGTCAATCATATGATAACATGGATAATAGAGATGGCAAAGCAATATAACCAACCAAAATTATTGCCATTTTTTAGACACTAAACAGAATAGAGAAAATCAACGTGACTAAAGAATATAGACTACCAAAGATAGAAAATATTTCTTTTTGCTCTAGTCCTGGATGAGTTACAGGTGAAGTCAAAATAATGTCCATTTGTGTATGTTATTCGTTGCTAATATAGTTTTAGTTGATTAAACTAGGAGAAGAAGAACTGAAGTCAGAAACTTGCACATTCGCTTCGGAATATAAAGACTTCAGGTTAAGTGGAAGTAAAATGGAATGCATAGAATAACGTTTTATCATGGACAAAATACATAGAATCTCCTATACGTAGTAGGAACAAAAAGGATAGTAGAGCTAGAATAGAGTACCATGTCCCAAAGCAAGATTACTTCAGGTATAGAGAATTGATTATTATTTTTATTGGAGGACTCAAAGAGGAAGTAACGCATTAGCATGGGATTGGCCAAATGAATAAGTGCTATGAAGATGTCATATGATTTTGAGTTACCGATCAAAGTAAAAGGAAAGTTCTAAAGAACCGTTATTAGACAAACTATACGTTCGTTAAAGCACAAAGAGTTCAAGGATTAACGTAAGAAAAATGGGGATGTTAACAAATATGTTTGACCATACCAAAATGGATAACATGAGACATGAGGTTGTGGTTGGCTGACGATGGAAACAATTCGTTAAATCAAAAAAACTTGAATGTTTGACGATGTGGTTGGCTGGTTTCCCAAGATTAGATTTTGTGGGACAACATAATAAATATAGCACTAGTTTGAAAAAAGTAGCAGAAAATAATTAATGTAGTTGACCCCCAAGATTCCAATGATCGCGATAGAATAAAGAGGTAACATGGCACGATGTGGTTGCACAAGATATGATTTTGTAGGATGTTAAATAGATGTAGCGTTGGATTGACAGAGTAGGTGAAAAAGAACTCATGTAGTTTACCTCAAGTTTATTTGAAATGAGGTTTAACTTGTTACTTCGTAAATAACGTTATAAATTATTCTTGCACTACAGGAAATCAACTTCAGCATTTATTGACAAGTTCAATGGATAATATATATATAGGATGTTCCAATAATGAAAAGATAACGCTTACACGAGTCATGACATCAGCATTAGGATTCCAGTTGTTGAAATCTCCAATAAGTGTCGCCCACTGCGAAATGCATAGAAAAGAGAACTAAGAATATATTATATGTTTATAAAACTAGTTACCATATAAAATTGGGAAAATAGCAGCAGAGATGCGCAAAACTTGGAATCATGTTGCACCTTGGTCCCCATTCTTCTAAACGGAGCATTTAGGTCCTCAATCTTTCATTTTAGTAGCACTTAAGCTAAAATTTATTAAAATGACAGTTTTATCATTATCTTCAAATAAACAAAAAATTAAATAAAAACAAAGAATATAAAATAAGAATCTTATTCCTATCCAAGCCCATGTCAAAGTGATTGGCAGTGATATGCAATAGTTGTGTGGACATGAAGTGGATTGGGTTGGAGTTGCATGGGGAAGAAAGATTTCCATTTTTTTAATTCTTATTTTTTGTTTTTTTTATTTAGTTAAAGAGAGGGGAAATACCCTTTTTTCAATAAAATTTTATCGTGTTAATTAGCGACGAGTAAACTTGTCAAATGGGGACCGAAGTGCTACTAAAATGAAAGATTGGGGATGTAAATAGTGCACTTTGAAGATTGGAGACCAAAGTGCAACAAACATCAAAGTTTGGGGACCTCTGCCTGCAATTTTACCTATAAAATTTGTAATTATTGTTGTAACAATTCAACTAGAACAATCATAAGAAAAAAAAAGAACAGTTCATGTGAACATAAAGAGAGAAGAGGAAACAAACCATGGTTTTATTCAAGACAAAACGTGAGCAATATCTAAACTAGTAACTAAAATACACTGCGTATGCATCCAAACAGAATTGTTTAGATAGGTAATCTAGTAAGATTTCACCAAACTCATTGAAACCACCCCCCACCCCCCTCTAAAATGTTTCCAGTACATCAAACTAGAAGCAACCAACCAAATTAAACCAATAGTAAGACAAACTAGACTAGGGAGGAAAATTCAACAGTGTGCATTAAACGAGATTCAAAGAGAACAAGAAACAGTTTATATAAAGAGAACTTCTAGCCAGATACAAAGTAATTTGCTTGCTATTTCTTCCTTTCCATAAGACCCTAAAGGACATGATCTGGATGGATTGAAAAGTATTGCTGCTATCATTCTGAGATACAGAATTACAAGAATAATTGTTGAAAAAACTATTTGAGAAGCATGGTATTATGGCGAGGAAGGAAAAAAACTGCTCACAGTTAAAGAAATTAATGGTACTAACCTTGGCACCAGGTGCCCATTCCCTGTAAGTTATACCAGTCGCACTGACAATACAAATATAGATAACGTTAGTATAGAAATACCTATTAACTACCACTCACAGATAACTCTGCGAAAATGTTTAACTTTCTTTTAAGAAGATATAACAGTACAAAAATCTGTCCAGACCTTGAAGTAACAGACATCTATCAATTTCAATGCTAAATGAACAAAAACACAGGCGCTTCACACAATTCAAAATGGTGTAATACCAACATTTGAGTCTTTCCCATAAAAAAAAGGCACACACACAATCATAAGATTTATCAAGCCCTTGGATCTAAGAAGAATTAATGATATTTAAAACCCTGGCTACATGGTTTGGAACATAAATTTCTTCACCTTGGTGGCTGCAGCCCTTTTAAGTTTTAAGTATGACATGTTTGATTAACGTAGGAAGTAACATCTTGTCATAACATCAATCTAATCAAGAAGCATATTCAATTGGATATCAACTTCTGGAAGCATTTCAAATCATCAATTTAAGGAGAAACCAGTTTTACAAAATGTATTATCAATGTGTAACTACCACAACAGAATTGTTTTTCAAAGATGCATTCAGTGATGAACTAGGATGAACTCCGTGTAAGTCATCTAAGGATAAAAGGGAAGAAAACAACAGTGTTTAGAAAGTTATGTAATATTATACCTGGAAGTAAAACCAAATTTCTCGTAACCACGAGAAAACATTTCTAACCCGCCCTCGTACTTGTCAATTGCTTCACGCATTTTCTTATAGTGTCCATACCTGTGAATGAACAACATACGTAGTGACAAAACAGATTGATATACTGCTAGATGCAGCTATCCGGTGTGGCACTGCTTAACAATTATAGAAACATATATGCTAACTGATGATAATTATGAAATTAATTTGTTACTAAACAAGAAAATATAATAGGGGACTTTTTAAGTTTCAAAATCTGAGATTATCTCACAAAACACCATTACACGTAGGTCCAAACTTCAGAAGTTTAAACTAGATTATGAACCTCAAAAAGTTTTAATTCAATCATACACGTTGGTTCAAATTAAAACATGTTGAAAAGAAGTCTCACCTGTAATCAAGATGATCACGGTGATTGGCCAAAAGTGGATCTATCTCATATATCCTTTGACCAATTCCAGGTGGAGTGATGACCCTCTTTCTGACCCTATCTGATTCGGTACTTATAGACATATATGATGTGTCTGAAGTTCCTTCAGCTTTTGCTTCAACGTCTCCTATTAGTGGTGAAGATGCAGAATCTTCCTCTCTGATGGTTTCACTAAAACTGCTACTCTGCTCAACAAAATTTTCTTGATCTTCAAGTTTGCCTTCATGTTCCACTTTTAAACTTTGTACGTCACCTGATATCTACAGATAAGATTCGTGCATAGAGAAGATCAGTGGAGGGAAGATATAGTTGTTATAAAAGACAGCATTCACAGTCATTTTCATTTAAGCAGATCATAACAGATAGGATGCGTGTATTTACTCCAGGAGTGTCTTCTTGTTTAGCTTTAATTAAATATTAGGACATCTTTAGAGACTCTTCTATTTGATTCTTTTTACATGAATAAAATTTCCCTTTCCTACCATATAATGCAAAAGCATATAAACAGGCAGATCTAAGGCTCTTTCGTAGGAAATGTAGATCATATTTGTTGGCAAAATCATGAAAAATTACTTCGTTTTGAGAAGGCACATATGTCCTTAAGAAGTAAATTGAAAAAATTCTTATCATACTCAACAATTCTGATATATAGTTATATATTTAGACTAAACACAACAGCACCAGTTAAGTAATCGAATCTAAGTTCATTCCTAGAAAAAAGAAATGAGAAAATTAGGGGACTGGAAATTGAAGAGAGGCAAAAGAAGAAAAGATGTCAAGATTGAGGTAGACATGAGTTTATGGACTCCGAAAACAATACTGTTCCAACTAAATCTTAAATTCCACTCCAATAAACATAATCCTAAACTACTAAAACTTCTATGGTGGCCTGGAGATAAAAAACTTCAAGCCATGTCAAATGATATTTCAGCCCATCTCCCCAAATTTGAAGTTCACAAAATACCCCCCATGTCAAGGCTTCAACATGCATAGTTCAGTAAGGAAACACGGAGAAACCATTCTGATGTATAGGAAAGTTCTTTTAAAGGCTTTATTACAACTGTGAGAATCTACACAATAGATCTAGATATATTTTGATTGAGTTTTAAGGACCGGAGCCCCCTTCCTTTCTCCAGAAATGATATATTTGCGTAGCATCACAATCAACAAATCAACTTTTCGTGTACTTATAGTTCTTCCAGAACATCTAGAATGATTCAAAAAGACTTAAAATTTCTCTAATTTTAAGTTAATGTTGTCATTTAACTCCATTTAAATCCCAACAAAAATCTCTACAGAAACTGGTCAAATGATGTGCCATGTTTCCTGAAAACAATAATATTTTCGACTCTTATTCTCTTAAGTTTTTTCCATCTCCTCTTCTCTCTATATGTGTTTTCTGCTTCATCTGGCCTTCCTAATCGCAGCAAAAAATAGTAGCAAAATTAAATTATCCCACCTACCATTTGAAGCATGGTAAGAGGACCCACAGAGTTCCATAAACCATTGGCTATCAAACCCTCCATGCTGTTAAATTATTGCAGCATGTTTTTCTTCTGGCAGTTTCTCCAATTAGTCAATTACAACAGTCCAACCCAGTAAGTGTTTTATCAAATACTTGGTGCAATAAGAAAGTTTCCACAGGACAATAAATTTTTGAAAAATTCCTACCTTTTATCCATCAAATTTTAGGCTTAACTCCAAATCTCATACAAGTTTCCTATATCGTGCATATGATATAGCATAATAATATTATAATACAGTGTAAGAGAACAACTCAATTGATTACTCATATTCCAAATAGTGAGTTTCAGGTTTTAAAGGAGCCTAATGGAGAAATGTATATAAGCTTTTAATCGAAAGATGCACTAGAAAAAGATAAAAATTAATGTAATTTGAGGTCAGCATGAACTCAGAATTCAGCAGCACAGGTAAAAACATATCCACCTCCTCTCCTTGAGGGGTGACAACGAGAACTGTAACAGATATTCTCATTAATAACAAGCTTCCAACTGATGAAGCAACTTCACTAGTACGTCATACACTTTGACCTTTATAATGAGATCTAGAGTTTGTTTCTCACTACGTGGAAATGTTAAGCGCATGTGTATGGGGGTGGGTGGGTGGGTGGGTGGGTTGGGGGGCCTTAGTAAGGGAGTGGGTTTCATGCTCACATGCCTGGGGATCTTCCAAAACTATCTCAGAAACGTTCAACTCCTCCGATGAGGACCCATCACTCTGGGTGCCAGGAATAAGGACCTTCTCCGATGCAGTTGCTGTAGAAGATTGAGATCCAGATTCATAAGAAGACTTTCCAGCAAACATCTTCCCTACAAACAAGTACCAGATTAGCTGCATCTTTCAAAAATATCCCATATACATTACTAAATTTATCTTCACATAATGGATAATAATATAATAAGGCAGGGACCTATTTCTTCATGTAATTGGAAAGCAAGGCAATGAAAGAATATCAGCAGCAATTTAAAAATATAAAAGAAGCCATCAACAACGTGCTTGCAAGCCACTAACAAGTCCCAAAAGCACAGTTTTATCCATCTCCCACATTTTTTTCCCTGATATGTCAAAATCTCTTCCATGCTCTAAGAAAATCTTAAATCTTAACTCTATTCCAGCAGCTATTAAGTATCAAGTAGTTAGCCTTTCGTCTAATTCGTATTCTACTCAAATAACATCACAGTTCCGACAAATAAAGAAAGTACAAATTTGGGTAACCGAAGGAAGGATTTGCTGCTAGGACTGGATATGCCGAATCTGAGCTGAGAGATGCTAGGTCTCGTCTATAAGCCCTTCTGCGAATTCTCAAGCAACAGCAAAGAGTACAGGGGATTGCCCACTAAGAGCCCATCATTTACCAGCGAGGAAAATTGAACAGTTGCTCTATGCATTCTTGAATTGGATTGTGTTGAACCCCAACATTAAAAATATTATTTCAGTATTAGAACCTGCAACAAAAAGTAAACCCGAGAAGCACATCGATGCGTCCAACCAAATCCCGCAAAAAAATTGATCGCATCAATATCTACTCTAATATAATCAACTATATCTAATTCCATACCATCTCCTCCAGGCTTTGTCGTGAAAAAAAAAATACAATTTAAAATTAACTCCCTCTAACTGACAATCACTAGCGATCAATACGCTTAAACAAACACGGAAAATAAATTCCATGTTACCCAATTGAATAAAACGAAGAACAAAATCAAAAGCAACACGGAATTAAAACGGACAGATTGTCCTCCTGCGAATGAATATCCACCTATAAATGGTCAAATACATAACAGAAAAAGCAGTTGTGTCGTACATGAATGCTGATTCTTTGAAAAAAACGAGAGATGGGCATTCCTTCGATCAGCACGAGAGCTGGATCCCGTGCCACCCAACTTATTCACCGATAGCGAAGTAGGCAACCGCATCCCAGATAGGGTATAAACCATTTTTCCCAAGATTATCCTTCCTCTTTCTGAAAAATTAAAAACCCAACTACCCAATAATAGAAAAATAAAATTACTTTAGATTTTGAAAATAAGATCGGAAAAGCGATTATGAAAGGTGTAGAGAAAAGCGATTATGATAAATAATAATATGAGTGAGTGATTATGGTGAGTATTCAATACTGCCAAGCAAAGCAGGATACGTGTGATGAGAAGAGTTGCATGGGGGATTGCAATGGTGGGTGGGGTCTACCGAAATTTGCGCCTGTCGTTGATTGAGACTCTGGAGTCAGAAATATCTTGATTTTGTTTGTAAAATTGTGGGCCATACTTCACGTGCCATGTTGAAACTCAAAAGATCATGAACCAACGGCTGTAAATATGTGGCGTTGCTAGCAAATGCGCATGTTTGGCTATCTTCAAATTATTATAAAAATTACTTTTAAGTAAATTTTTTTCTTAGATAAAGTAACTTTTAATTTTAGACTTGTTTCATTTTTGCCATTGCGAGAATTTCAATTTTAAAATGTCAAGTTACAACTCGGGGCGAAGAGGGACACGTTTGGACTTTAGCTTAGGTACATCCCAAGCCCATTTAGATTGTTTAGGTACTACCAATCTAGAATTAAAAAAAATTTCCTCCCGACTCTGCCTATGTTGCAACGATTTTTGAATGTTGAAGAGTATAACATCTGCTTTAACTTGGATGGACTTTATCCAAGTTTTGAAGAATTTTGTGCTCTTTAACCTATTGATTCAGACGGAAAAAAAAATGATAGTTGTAGTACGGTTTAGTGGGGTGTTTGTTCGCTAAGGTTTCCTGTCATAAATAAAATGGTTATTCTTAAGTAACTGTTACTGTACTAACAAAACAATTAATTTACGTATTCGTAAGTTTTATCAGTATTAGAATTATTTATTTTAGCACTTGCTTGCTTACAAATAAACATGCTTATGAGTGAATTTTTATGAACCTAACCAAACATGCTCTTTCCATATTTGTGTTTGTAAATAGAGAAATGCCACTTTATTAGATTAGATTAAAAAAGCAACTTCACTTTTTATCTAGAAAAAAAAAAAAAGGTGTTTCCGGCTTGTTTGTCACGAGCGGATATAATTAAAAGTTACTTTTTAGTCATTTGCGTGACTAATAAGTTGCAAGTTATTAGGCAACCAATACCATCGAAGTTAAAATTATTTGAATTGTTGAAATATTTTTATGTTCTTTTGTAAAAGTAATACTGTATTGCTTTTTATATTTCGATTGATTATTTTCTGCCAAATTATTTGTAATTTTCAGTCCTTCAATTTAACAAATATGCACTTTTGGTGAGGGAAATTGAGACTCTCATTCAATCAATTTTCTTTAAAAGTTTTCTTAATTCGATAACAAAATTAAACATCGTCTTTTCTAGAATTTTATGAATTAATGGATACAAAATAAATCTATTTTGTAAAAATAGATTGACTTCAGTCTAGCAATCTTTATCTCTGTTTGAAGCCCATATTTTGAGGAAAACATGTTTTGAAACAGTGATTTTTTTGTGAATGTATAGTTAAAAAAATATATTTACTTGTAAAGTTATTTTATAGAAGACTGTAGTTGAAAATGATTTTTGGAAAACAAAAATGAGAATGTAATAATCTCAAAGATGGAGAGTGAAAACTCGATACTTCGTCTCATTATTTAACTAACATATGCCTTTGTTTGAGCCTCATTTTTTTTTCATCAAAATGCATTCTTCAACATTGATTTAACCCTATTACAACAACATTCTCCATTATAACATTATTACAAAATGCATTTTTTGAAAAAAAAAAAAGGGACTCAAACAAGTCCTATATTATTCCTATTTAATTAACATATATATTATTCATCCATGTTTGCGTCCCAATTGAATGGTGAGTATCGATTATTGTAATTAAATAGTTGCATAAATATTGAGTACTTCATATTCCAAGAGTAATATAAATTTTTCTCCCTCGAAGATACTATAAGATGAATTCAAGACTCCAAAACCAAGAATAGACCAAAATCTCAAAAATCAGAAAACAACGTAACTTTTGTGTGAGGTGTCATTTTTTCATTGGAGGGATAACTAAGGGGGAAAGCTCTAAAGGACAACAAACCTGGAGTTCAAAGAATCACATCTTGACATGAATTGAAAGTATTAATCAAACACGAGTTTGTGAAATACAAGATGTTCAGAATTAACACGGCAATGCAGACATAATATTCAGCATAACAGAGTTCTACAGGTTCACCCCTAATGACAGTTAAATATTCAATCTCGGAAATCATCATTAACATTAACATATATCAATGCATTTCCAGATGTACAGAAATCAGCAGGACCTCTCCTATGGTCCTATCCAATAATGTAATGACAGAGTTTAAAACTATGCTCCAGAAATCATAATACTTAGTTATTCATTATACAATGTAATCCAACATTTAACTAAGCATATAAACCGAGAATGGAAACCACGGAAAACTGAAATACTGGACAGAATCTTCCCTTTTACCATCCAAGACCTCCAGCGTTCTTCTTCCCTTCTTGCTGGTCAAATAGAGTCGGCTCAGGAACAACCTCCCATGCCATGCAACCACCGTCCAGAGAGAGGTAAGAACCAACCAAGATCTCCAACATTTTGACTAGGGTCATCGATCCAAAGGATCTACCGTAGCAGCCAAAATCAGCCCCTAAAATCTGATCTAAGCCCTTGAGAACGAACCAACCCTTAGCCACTATTTCAGGCCTAAGAATACACAGGTATATCTCCCACCAATGGGCTAACCAATGTCAATTTTAGGGCACTAACAAGGAAGAAGAAGAACTGGGTCTATGGAGAGAAACGAGGCAGTCACAAAGAAGGAAGGAGAGTAAAAATCGTGTCCTGGAAGGAAGTCAGGAGAGTTCTGTCGAAGAAGCCAAGCCTACGTGAATATAAAGAGAAAGTCAGCTAAGAAATATCTAACACAAAATTAAATCTCAGCCCTAGATCTTCATCCAACGGTCACAAAAGAAACAGGCCCAGTAAGTGTTAAAGAGAACCACCTAATAAGCCCAATAAGCCCACAGTGTCATTTTTCATTGAAGGGATAACTAAGGGGGAAAGCTCTGAATGACAACAAATCTGGAGTTCAGAAAATCACATCTTGACATGAATTGAAAGTATTAATCAAACACAACTTTGTGAAATACAAGAATTTCTTAAATTTGGTAAACTCGAACGCTATCTTGTTTGAGTCCATGCATGCAAATAGCATTAAGCCCTTAAATTAGTATCTTTCTCGTTATGTGAATCTTGGATTGGTCGTGATGCAAAATCTAACATTAAGGTTCGAATCGTAATTGGAGGATGGAGTAGAAGAAGACGAATGAGCCAATACAGAAAATAACAGTGTGTCTTGAAACAACTTACCTGTAAATTGTACACAAATTGGAGCTATCAATAAAAAGATACAAGCAAATGGTATACTTTCTTGGAGAGGAAAATGAAGAAACCTTTGTTTGCTTCTGAATGAACTGTTATATATTTTTAAACCTAAAAAGATAACTAGATTACGAGTGTATATCCAAGAAAATATGCATTTAAATTCGAACTATTTCATCAATTGATCAGTGTCACGCACAATCTTTTTCGAGGGTAGCACAACTGCACCCACCGGATTATATTCCAGGCCACCACCTTGATCTATTATCAATCTGAGTTCATTAATATGAAGCTTCCCGTGACGACCACTTATCACAGCAGTTGGGGTTTTAGACAATTCCTATCAAAAGTCGCACAGAAGAGAGAATGTTATGTTACTTTTTAGAGTAATGCTATTCCGCACCACTGGTGTCAAGCACCAATCTAAGTGGCAACTACATGGTATTATATGATATATTCACTTAAATATAATGTGACCTGATTCATTTAATTGAACATATCAAGTATGTTCACCTCAATTGATGCTAAATAGTTGTAGCAAGTAATCACCTCGGGAATGTCCCATACGTTCTTCCTCCCACTGAGAGCTTCGACCTTAGGGATTCTTGTGTCTTTGGTTTAGCTGCTCTTCAACCCCTTTACTTTTCTCCAAACCAGCGTGTACAGCCACCAGTTTACAATTTTGGAATCCTTCCTTCGTCTCTATGCATACATCGTCCTCCAAAATTCAAGCAACACAAGTTTTCTGTTAGCTTTCACTTGACGTTGTGTTGAAGATTAAATTTAAATAAATAAATGTGTCCCTTCAAAATATTTCAAGTGGTTCAACAATGTATCAAAGTAGGGTGAGGTACCAAGTTTAAGTTCCGAAACCATCCATTTAGGAAAATTGCGATGTGTCAAGCTTTCGACAAAAAATGAATTCAGCCTTCACGAGAAGACGCGTGTTGAGAAATGTGTCCCTTCTCCTAGTTTAGATTTTCATATCAGGTGGTTCGATAGAGTATGAGCAAAGTTGCAAACTATTGATATATCTCAAGTACTTCCAATACGGTACACATCCAATGGAAAACAACCCTTTACCAATTGCTTCGTCCCGAGAAAGATACAAAAAGGAAAAAAGAGCAAAGGACAAACATCGATTAGAAGATCACCTCTTCATGTACCCAAACCAAATCAGCAAGAAATTTCTTGTGTTCATCAGGAACTGCCTTGACCAAATCTGCACACAAGATAACATGTCCTAACCGTGGCATCTCCAGAACAAACCGGACAACAATTAAACCAATTTGACATCAAATGACTTAGAAGTCCATACCTAATTAGGCAACCTAAACTGTCAACTTCTATTATCAAACAAGCTTACAAAATTAACAGAAGTTATCAAATTGCTAAATTGACAAAGGACCTAATTAACAGGAAAGCATAAAATCTCAGCAAGCATAAGTTAGAACATATAAACTATCCCCCTAGAAATTTCGAAAGTGCGTGTATTTGCACTACGGATTGAATTCATTTGGAATTCTAGCTCTAACTTTAATGTTTTGAAGCTCTCACTAGAATTAAATTTTCTCGCTTGTTCACTTAAACTCGAGAGCATATTTTAGACTAATATTACAGTATTCCAAAGTTCCAGCCCCACAGAATCACGGGAACCTTCTACAGTCATGCAGATTAATTAGCTATGTTCCTCATAGCAAGAAGTGCAACTTCTATCCTATAGACTTGACACAGAATTGTGACATTCTGAGTGTTTAGCACATAACCTACTTTCGCTCAACGTTGATTCAATGCGAAAGGGGCATACCTCACATCACCTTTTTGTATTTCTCTCTCCATCAATATATATTACTAAACATGACCTGTTGTTTCTTTCTTGCCCTTCCTTTCTTCATGTTTGGATGTGTAGCACGTACATGTTATGTTGTAGAGCCTAATTTATTGCCATTTCGCGAAGCTGGTGGTGAATCAACCTTCGCAGTAAGGTTGCCATGGGGGTTGGAAGGGGGACAGGAGGCCCCCCTCCCAAGGCATGTGGGGGGCTCAACCAAAATTTAATCTAATGACTATTTAGAAATTTGTATTCTTGTAAAATTCTATCAAGGAATTGGATTCCTTTTAAAATTTGATTTTACCCTAATTTATCTAATAAATAAGGAGCCATGGTTAGGCTTTATAATTATCATCATCAAAAAGAGGAAAAGAAAAGCTAGAGAAGATATAATTGTGGTTTTCTCTTAGAAACTTTTTTTATCATAGTGAATTACAGCAACGGTGACAGAGGACGGGGTCTTACATTGAGGTGAACCTCTATAAACCTTATATGATCTTGAGTGTTTATTTTTCTTTCTTTGAATTGATTGCACTCGGTGGAATATCTTTGAATTGATTGCACTCGGTGGAATAGAATTAGAGTTTATAATTCTCAATAGTGCACACAACGATAAACAAACATGGCATATATAGAGTGTGTTTGGTAGGGATTTTTGGGGAAGAATTGATTTTTGAATAGTGATATGATGGGAAATGTGTGGTTGAAAAAGAAGAAAAAAATATTGATGTGATGGAAAATATTATTTTATTGAAAAATGTGTGGTTGAAAATGAGAATTGATTTNAAAAATGTGTGGTAGAAAATGAGAATTGATTTATTGTAGAAAATGAGAATCTGTACCAAACAGACTCATAACATGCACTCTCCTAAATATTAATACATCAATTCTCCAAATTGAGTCAAATTCAGAAATTTGCTGCAGTCAAGCTCTCACTCTGGTTTCCCATCTTGCTTCCGTGTTATTAATCAATACCATAAGAGTATATTCCCATCAATATCAGACACCGCATTCATCATAAATGACGAACAACAATCAAAGCTTGTGCGTATTCGAATGTAAAAGAACACATTTGCAGAAAGTTTGACCACCTTGCATATCGAGGAAAGACTTGAAACACATTAGTGAAGCATAAATCTAAATCAAATGAAGCAAAACACATAAACCATATCTACACAAAACAGAAGAAATTCATGCTTGCCAGAACAAGAGAAACCAGCATTAACATAAAAAAGTTAACATACACTAAACCATTTCCAGTGGTCGAACCAATCAGAAACCGCCAAATTGTACAAGAAACCATAAAATCAAAGAAAAATCCCATTTGACAATGTACAGAATCTAATCCAACAAAATCACCCAATGCAAGAGCAGTGACATACAATGTAATCCAACACAATTACCAATTCCCAAGGATCATATACATTAGAAACAAAAGCAAACATTTTCAGTGCTCAATAATAACACATTCAACAAACTCCATATCAGAAAAGCAAAATTTATACCAGCAGATCCATGAGGGATCCCATAGGACTCGAAAGTGGGACCGGCATCGTAAATCGAGCCTTTGGGATCTTTTATTTTTCAATACCATGTTTTGCTTAGCTTATTGCTGAAAAGAAGCAAAAATTAAAAAATTGCTTCTTTCTTGACCGTAAGAATACTCACAATTGAAGATAAAAGCATTTCATAGTTGTTATCAGATAAAAACAGATAATTCTTAATCAGGTAGAGAGTCAGCAAGTTTTCACCCCCATTAGCCATCACAACCAATAGAATCAAAAATACCATACTACAGACTAGAGCCAAGATTTCAACCATAAAGAGGATATCTATAAACCTCTTTTACATCGATTTTACATTTATTCCCGTTGATACATGTATTTCGACTTGGCCCCGTCACAGCAAACTCCTCAATCTCCACTTGCACAGCCCCCACAACCGCAGTGCATGCATTCTATAACCTTCTCCTCCCGTAAATGATTCGGGACTCGGCAAACACACGTGGTTTGGAAGTTATGATCACGAGGTTGCATGCACCTCAAGCAGCAGAGCCTTTCATAGCCAGGCTGCAGTTCAAACAATAATAGTTTTAATTGATTGTACAAAACTTGGAATGCATTCATATGCGAGGACCTCAAGAGAAAACTACACTGCATACTTCCAAATTTTGCAATGACCGAAATAGTTTCCTTCTATTTCCAAAAATTTTGAAACTGAACAAGCTGAATTGTGTGAAATCTGCAAATATTCCTCTTTAAACCATTTTTTTCTTTTGAAAGTGTAACATTTTGTACAAAAATCCAGATTGCACAGGTAACTCAGAAAACAAAGATGAAACACCAAACTCCAATTGAAATGAAATCTTTAGGATAAATCATGACAGAATTCATATTTCCAGTACCATGATAAATATATGGACATTGTTCACAAACCTTTTTCCACTTTGCAATTAAGTTACGATCGGCATAACCCTGATCCAAGCAGAACTCGTACAATTCCTTGGAAATCTCCTTCCTCCTGTGATAAAGGTCAAAAATGTATCGACTTTTCTGATGGGCTATTTTAAAAATAGGCCACAAGGCCTCACATTTTCTTTTACCATCATGTGGGTCATTCTCAGCTGCCAAGAAAATAGTCAGAAAAGCAAAAAAAAATTTAACATTAAATAGGTTGACAACAATATGATGGGAAGACAATATAATATTCAACGTACTTTGGTATGACAGAGAAAAAAATGAGGACCTTCTCTCATCTGTGCTTGCAGTTCACGTAGAGTAGGTTCAATCAACTCCCAACCCTCGGGGTATTTTACTCGGTTAGTCTTCACCTTAGGCATGACTCCCTCTGAAATATATTCCAAGTATCTGGGTCGCTAAGTACCTATTGTGGAACATTTGAAAAAGAAATGTTCATGTACAAGCAGTTAATTCTTTAAAACAGAAATGTCTATCCACAACCTGTTTATTCTTGCTTGTTTAGAATTGTAATAAAAACAAGACTGCATTTCCTTAAGCCTCTAACCGGGATACTTTTTTCATAATTTAAGACCTTTTATACCCCAGCACACAGAAATTTAGTCCTGCGTAAGTCTGCACACATTTTCGTTCCAAATTCCCAATGATTAAGGTACCAACCTTTTCATGAATTGGAAGACCTGTGGAGTTTACTTCTTTCAAATCTTGCATGGACCTTGAAATAAAGGACTGCTAAAATTAAGTCCCCACCCATTTATGCAATCCGCATCCTAATGCCCATGCAATTACAATGAAATTGGGAAAAAGGCAACTACATAAAATGCTCAAGTAATTGGTATGAATTTGTTGAAAGCTGAAAAAAAAATAATGACAAAGAAAATGGTCAACAAATGACTGGATCAGCAAAGAAATTATGAAACTAACTGCATTGAGGAAAATGTAAACGCCAAGCAAGGTAAATAGCAAGTCTAGGGCTTACGTCCTATGGATCTCCATAGAGATAAAGCAAGAATACAGTCAAATCTGCCACATGCCACCGGAGGATATCGGTGATGGACCTATATTTCGAAATCAGGGGCAGCCGTCTAGGATAGTGAACTAAAGTGAAATAAACTGCAAGATATGGACGAATTTGGGGTTTGGCGGATGTTATATAGAGAGTTAGCCTACACCAGCAAGGAATAGCTTTACTGCTTTACAGGATACGCATCTCTGTTCACATCTTTTACACTGTCTTAAACTCTAATGCCATAGCATTTGCACTATCTAAACTTTAATAAAAATAAATTGCACTTCGGTCAAAAGCTTAATCTTTTCACTGGCTAATGTCAAATTTTCAGTCACGACGTCTTCTCCAATCAAACGGACAACCACCCGGTTTCATAAAACATAATTTCCTACCAACTGCCTTTGTTAAGACATTTTGTTCAATCCATCTTAAGGATGAATAAAGTCTCTGTTATAGCACATAAAAATGTTGTCTCAATCAAGAAACATGGAGTCTACCATTGGTTAGCGGCCTCTGCAGTCCACAAACCAATCCCATGGACATGACTAGCACAAACGGTCCAACTGCCCATTATGGCCAGTCAGCATTCAAGAAACATCTCTAAATTCATCCAGTGAACTTCTGAGTTTGCCCCGATCTTGACCCTGTAAAATTGACCATCAAGACCTCCAACATCTTCACACAATCCTATTCACAAAGTTAGCCAATGATTCAAAGCCCACAACACCTCTGCCTTAATAGTCAGATACAGAGGTGAGGTAATAATTACAGCTCAATATTGAATACCTCTTTCATAGTCAAGAATAAAATTTATAACCGTGAAATTAACTGTACATCCACCAAAATTAATGGCATCAGGATGAAAAACAAAAAGAAGGGATCACTGCTGCAGATTCTGGCTGATAACAATTTTATCTTCCAAATGCCTTTTCTATATGATGTGTGAATGTGTAGTCATTGGGGCAGCATTAATTACTAGTAGCCTTACTTTACAAATGATTCCATAGAATGTCTTTAAATATTGAAATTGTGTTTTTACTTTCTAAACAAGACAAAAGTTCAAAAACTACACGTCAAGAAAGCTTTTAAATTATCCTTGTAATTTTTAAGCTTTCTTAAAAATCATTTCGATTGTAATTTTCAACTTCGAGTTTCAATCTTATAATTTTTAATTTTCAACTTTCATATTATAATTTCAAAAAATTTTACATCAATAAATTCATTGTTTCCATCAACCTCTACTTTTCTTGTCCCTCTCTCCTTACCTGGGCGACATGGGCCCTTATTCTGGCACACTTCAAGAAAGTTCTTAAATTATCCTTGTAATTTTTAAATTTTCTTTAAAATCTTTTCAATTATAATTTTCAATTTCGAGTTTCAATCTTGTAATTTTTAATTTTCAACTTTCATATTGTAACTTCAAAAATTTTTACATCAATAAATTCATTGTTTCGATCAACCTCTAGTTCTCTTGTCCCTCTCTCCTGACATGGGCCCGTCGATTCATTACATCAGCAGGTACTCCGATAAAATGTTTGATAATACTATAAATAAGAGTATTGAAACTATCATTTTCTCAATTTCATCATTTTGTGAGTTCATTATCTCTTGCCTTTCATCTAAGCTGAGATAATTTCCCCACCAATTTTCGAGTTGGGCCGTAAATCCTACTAATAGTTTCAGGGTTGCAACTTTGGGATCAACACTTTTTGCTCTATATATTTTCCAACACATAGACATAATTACAAACTGTCGAACAATTGATAAAACATTGACGGGAGTTTTTCCGTTATCAATTGATTTTGAAATAGATTTCTCATAATTGGATTTTAGAATTGTGTTTTCAATGTCAGAATTTAATTCCATTCTATTTAACTGAGAACCCATAGATTGAAGAACAATATTAGTATAATTGTTCTGAACTTGAATATTTTTGATATCTTTAACTACAACTTCAGAATCATCTCATCGTTCGCTAGATATACTTTTGAGAGATGCAAGAATTTCTGTATTTCCTTAGAAAACAACAATTTCTTGCATATGAGGATGAGTAGTTTGAAAAGTATAACCCTTAGGTGTCTTCCAAATCTTTTTTGAAGAATTTGAATTTTGAATAACTTTTGATTTAGTGGATTTTTTATTATAAACTTTGAAATATGTCAAGTCATGAAAACTTAAATCTTCTGGAAAAAACTTCAAATTCTTCCTAGTAAGACTCAATTTCTTCTTGAGAAAAGCTTTTTTGAAATATTTTTCGAAAACTTTTGACTTCAAGGGTTTTGTAAGTAATGAATTCATTTTTTCTATTAATAGTAAAGAAATAACATTACATTACTAATCAAACCTTTCTGAATGAGGTGCCATATCAGATAAAGTTGGAGAACCAAGTTGATCTGATTTAACTTCCTTATCAGTTTGATAATGAGTTTTTAAAATATTGGAGTTAAAATCAACTTCTCTTAAAGAAAAAGTAGAAAATCTAAAAGGTTGAAAAGTATTTTGCCTTGATCTATAATCAGATCTAGATGAATGCGATCTTTGAATAGTATTTGAAGATGAAGGTATGTCAAAAATAATTTTGACATTTCCGTCACGAAAAGAAATGATTTGATCAGGATTTCATCAAACTGGGGATGGAATTGGGTTTTAAACATTTTCAAAATCCCATTCTAGTCCTCTATCTTGAAGATTCCATGGAATCCATTTGGGAATCATAACATTTGAATGAAGTTGATTAACTTCAACCAAAAGACTTACATCTCTTGGAAAAAATTTGAGAGCTCGAATATTGAGTTAAGTGTTCAAAAGCTTATAATATATTTGATATATTAAAGCAAAAGCTATTGAACAATCATCAACATCAAAATTCTTTGTTTGAACTTGAAGATTAAAAGCATTAAAAATAACTCCATCTTGAAGGCTAATTGTAAAGTTTGGATAACAATTTGAAAATACTGGACCACTTTCGAAATTAGACTCGAGAATAAAAAGTAATGAATGTTCAAACCTTAAGAGTCTCTTGTCTCTTAGGATTAAAAGAACACGAATGTCTAGACCAAGTCTAAACAGAGGTTTGAAAGTAATTTGAACAAGTCCAACAACAAGATATTTAAATGTCTTCCCGTGAGCTTGTATAGCTTCTTTTGAAAAAAGGTTTATAGAAACTGTTTGATTTTTTATAGGGATAGGTTGCTATAATGATTTGATAACATAATTTTAAGTAAAATCAAATTTTTTTATCTCATAGATAGAACTTTTATCTACCTTTGAGACAGTCTAATTTTGAAGTCTTTGCTCTATTTGAGCAATTTGAAATTCATTTGAAGTAAAATCATTTGATGCAGATGCTTGATCTTGATCTAATTCTTCATTATTATCTTGAAAATAATTTTAAATGTTATCACCACTATTGTTCCTTTACTAAACCAGTTTGACATAAAAAACATAATTGAATAGTAATAAGAAAACAGTAATCTTACTATTGAAAACAAAATGCTTCAGGCAAATTGATGCAATGCAAAGCCTACAACGGGACCACCTACACACCAACTCCGGCAACACGGCTAACCAATGCTTCAGTAGACATCCATGTCTTACACCAACCTAACCTTTAACACTATGCAGATAATAGTTTGACACTTATTCTCTCACACTACTCTCTTATGGCTCTAATACCAAAATAAGGCCCAGGTCAAGAGAGAATGACAAGAGAAGTAGATGTTGATGAAAATAATAAATTTATTGATGTAAAAATTTTTGAGATTACAATATGAAAGTTGAAAATTAAAACTGACAAGATTGAAACTCGAAATTGAAAATTACAATTGAAAAGATTTTAAAGAAATCTTAAAAATTACAAGGATAATTTAAAAATTTTCTTGAAGTATAATATATCTCGCTTTATTACACTTAAGGAGAACTTTAAACTTGAGTCTTCTTTTATATTTGAAATCTTGGGTTCGAATTTGAAACCAAATTAATTTTGGTTAAGGAATCTTGAAAATTTTAATTTGGAAAGGCAATCACTTATCTTTGTTTTCGAATAACTCTTGATAATTATACATCACATTTTGACAATGGCATACCAACTTTTGACACTTATTGACACTTTCCACCAATGTTTCCACTTCATTTTACAAAACCTATCCACATTCCTATTTTCGAGATGAAAACATCTTGGATTCATAGGTATTCATCCCTAGAAGAATGCCTTCAAAATATTTTCCCTCCAAATTTCCAATATTTTTCAAAAAATATTAAAAAAATCCAGAGCTTATTATGAAGTTATTCTTGTCAAATCTGGAGCAGCCATAATAATTCATACTCCATATCAACAAAAGAAAAATTATATTGATTTTTTCTAAAATTTCAATTCAAAGGATACTGTCATTCAAAGATTGGGGACAAGAACTATGGAAAGAGAAGAGAATGCGTCTTCCAATTATTTTGATTACCAAGAAGTCTCGTTTAATGTGTTTTACTTTTTAGTCGAAGTGCGCGCAAATTGGTCCAAACATCCACGGTTATAAAAAAAATGTGTTTTACTTTAGACCAGTTACTCATTCAGTCATTCTTGGTTTATACTTTTTCATCAAATTTGTTTAACAAATTCTCCAAAATGGTTCGAATATTTTGGACATGAAGAAAATATTTTACCCGGTCTTACTCTTTAAGGATTCGAACACTTCAAAAAGGAAGCAAAAACCTTTTTAAAATTTCAAGAAAATCTTTTATTCAAATTTGCTCATAATTTAAAAGTCTCATGGATATTCTGTTGGGACTATCAAATTGTTCAATAACAAAGATCTGAATATCATGTTAAAAAAGTTATTTGGAGACTCAAAATCAAATGGTGGTCAAAATTTCATGAGACAAATTGATGCCCAAAAATAGTAAATTCATGGATTCAAGAACAGAGAAACGCGGGCATTCCCAAATTATTCAAAAAGGAACTTGACAAAAGTGTCAATTTCCTCACAGAGAAATCAAGAATATTGGCTATGTTAAGTCAGTGCAAAACTCCTGAAGAACTGCAAGCTATATCAGAAAGAATTGCAGCTCTTGCAAAATCTTCATCAAAGAAATCAGATCCAAAAGAAAATTCTTCTCAATCAAATTCATCATATTATGAACCAAGCAATGAAGACATTGCTTTGGTTTAAAAAATATTGATGAATTAATTGAAGAAGAAATCAAAAGAATACTCCTTCAAAATGACTATATGGACCCAGTTACCTTGATGAACTAAGAAAATTTAGGGTTCAGAAATCAAAAGATTCATTATTCAGAATTTGTATGCTACCAAACAAATTATTATTGCTCCCCTTGCCAATTATAAAAAATGGATTAAAAAATTTAGTATCTTTATTAAAGTAAAATTTAAAAAGCCGAAAGAAGTGGAAACATTGGCGATAAGTGTCAAAAGTTGGCATGATTGTCATTGTCAAAAGTTGGTATGTCATTGTCAAAAGGTAAGATGCAATTATCAAGAGTTGTTGAAAGACAAAGACAAGTAGTTGTCTTTCCAAGTCAAAATAGTTGATTACTTTTCAAGATTCTTTAACCAAAATTAATTTGGTTTCAAATCCGAACCCAAGATTTCAAGTATAAAAGAAGACTCAAGATTAAAACTCTCCTTAAGTGTAATAGAGAGGGAGATACTACACTTCAAGAAAGTTTTTAAATTATCCTTGTAATTTTTAAGTTTTCTTTAAAATCTTTTCAATTTCAAGTTTCAATCTTGTAATTTTTAATTTTCAACTTTTATATTGTAATTTTAAGAATTTGAACATCAATAAATTTATTGTTTCCATCAACCTCTACTTCTCTTATCCTTCTCTCATGTCCTGGGCCCTATTATATATATATGGAAAATGATACTTGTACAGCCCAGGGTGTATACCTCCGCACATAATAAATCATAATTTATTGTGCGCGGTCCCCCCTCCATGTGAGAGGGGTGTAAGCCTGGGTGTATACATTATGTACGTGTAGGCGTGTAGCATCTCCTTATAATTGAATTGAGCAAAATGGGGTGCAGACCCTTGTGAAAAGGAATATAAACGACGACAGGAACTGCAATATCACCCCTTAGACACACCTATATATCACATTACTCTCTTAATTAGACGTCAAAAACTTAAAAATATAAATCGAACCGTCGTATAACGAGAATCAGAAACAACCATACACCTGCCTATTGGTAAGATTCAGGAATGTTAGATTAAAAATCAGCCTGGAAACTTCAAGACATTTTTAACCGTAAAACCAGTTAAAGAGATCAGACTATTTGTGATGAGTTGTAGCTGCTTTACAGCACCAAATTCCAATTTATATTTATGTGTAACTGATCCCATCTTACACGAATAAAATCACAAACTAAATCAACACTCTTCCTCCACCCCCAAAAAAAATATAAAAGATAAATTATTGTAGGGAAATTTAAAAACCCTAGAGTATAAAACCTTTACAAATCCAGCAACAATATTCTGTGTTCCTTTCTCACTAAAATGATTTTGTCATCAGATAAACTGAAACCCAACTTCACGAATAAATGAAGAACGCAATAAATCACATGGATCGTATAAGTCAGTCGTATACATAAATTTATAATTAAATAGCAGCCATAGAATTCAAAGTGGGAAGGGATTGTACCAAAGAGTGTGGAGATTCGGCCTCAGCGGAGGGAGTGGCAGTCGAGATGGAGATGGAGATAGAGGATGGAAGGTTCGAGTTCAGAATGCTAAAAGAGATTTCTTTAACCTTATTTTGATGACAAAAGGAAGACGAAGAACGGTAAGAAATTATTTTTCCCCTAAACCATTTTTAATCACATTTTAAAATAATTATGACTGTGTTTCAACCACATTATTTTTTTCATTCTCATTATTATACTCATTTTCAACCACATATTTTTTAATAAAATAATATTTTTCATCACATTAATAATTTTTCCTTCTTTTTCAACCACATATTCTCCATCACATCAAGAAAATGCATTATTGACCCCAAAATGTGCACCAAACAGTTTCTATGTATATAAATCCATAATTATACATTCTAAAAAAATTATTTTTCATGAAATCTATTTTTGAAAATATACTTCTTTGTTTGATCAACATTCTTCCCAAAATTTATTATTTTAATACTCATTTTCAACAACATATTTTTAATAAAATAATATTACACATAAATTCAAAATTTTTCCTTAATTTTTTACCACATATCTTTCATCACATCACATCATAAAATGTATTTTATTCTCAATAATATGCATCTAACACATGTCCTTAATTTTCAAGTCAAAGGTGTAATTACTCGAATGAATCACATTCTAATTGTTATTGTTGAAGTCCCAACATTTTGTTGTCGCATTTGTTACCTTTCGATTTCGGGGTCCAGAAAAACGGGGCCACGTGGCACGACGTGTGGACGGATAGTCAACAAAAAAGTCAAAATGAAGACCCAGTAGGTCAAACACACAAAGGAAGTCAAAAGGCCGAGATCCTTACACATCATCCGAAGTCCTCACTTTGTATGACTAGAAGTTGGGAAATGAGCTTAAGCTCTCCCCTTAAAGAACCACCTCAAAGATCTCTTCGAGGCTCTCAAACTTGTCTGAAACTCATGGAGCTGACATTGTCTCTTGTAATAGATTTAAGGATCTTTGAAGTGATTGATGTAAAGTTTGTAATAAAGTTGTCAACGTGTTAGCATATTACATAGGGCGGCTCACCTCTTATCAATGTATTTATTGTATGAGTAGACAGTGATGTGAAGCCTTAGTTAGGGAGGTGAGCCCACGTGACTCCGATCCAACGGTCACCACATCGATCAAGTCAGTATAAATATGTCCTATCTGTAATAAAGGGGAGGGATGAAAATAGAGATGGGGACAATCCTATATTCGAAATATACACTCGAGCTTTGAAAAAGAAACACATTAATATTTCATCTATCCTTCCACATATTCTTATTTGTTATTACATAGATTAGTTTGGTTTCTGTCTTGCAATCATTGATGGTGCGGTTGCTTTCGTTCCACCCGTCGAAGCTCAAACAGTTTGTCTCTTGCCGCAAAGTACCTCATGCATCCATTTCCTCATTGCTACCGTCGTTACTCCAGTAGGAACGTGTCGAAATTGTACTTGACTTGATAAGAGTGGACCCGACATCTGTTCATTCATTTTTTTTGTCAACATCATTCATATTCTTGACATTCAATTAATTATCATATTTTCTATCTAGTAACATTACTATCCAAACATTTTATTAGCGTTCTCTGATTTGAGGATCAAATATTTGTCTAACTTTTGTATTTTGTATTTTTATATTATTTAAAAATACAATTGACAAATAAATCTTTTATGCGCTTTAATCGATTTTTTGGACGGAATTTATTATTAGGGATAAGATATGCTAATTAATAAAAGATAAGGATAATAGTAAAGAAAAAAAAAAATTTTGAGGAGATAAAGAGCAAAATTTGAGATCTTTATTGCAATTAAATAGAGTACAACCAATATAAAAATCGTATCAGGAATATATTCATATTGTAAAAACAATCATTTCTCACCTATAAATCAATAAAATGTTTATTTTCTTTTTATTAATTTTATTAATGGCCCCTCAAATTTGTACCATCATTTTATGCACTAATCGGTAAATTTTAATAAAAATTGATGAAATATGTGATTAAAATATTGTAGATACAATAAAAATATGTAATTAAAATTAATTATTGACTTTGATTTACAGAACATGGGCTAAATTTTAGTTTGTTGTAGATTTTTTATTTTTACAAAAAAATATTTCATATAAATTATTGATTCATATTGACGCCCATTCATAATTAAAATTCATTTGTCCATGTGGGAAGTCGTAGATTAACTTAAAAATGGATTAAGCTAGACGTACAGAACCAGTTTCACAGAAACTCTACAGAAATTCAAAAGGCCACCACGTGTCGGTGAAAGGAAAAGGAAAGGACTTGGCTTTTGGAGAAAATTATTCATAAATTCATTAAATCACTATTTTAAAATCTATTTTCCCAAAAAATGAAGTCCAAACATGTCTCACGAGTAACTCTGTGAATTCAAAGAATCTCCAAGAGATTCTTTAAACATGATATACTTTCTATTTTAAAGGGTCAATATTTAAAATCATGTTTCAAAAGACTCTTTAAATTAGCATTTTAATTTAGAGAGTGAGTTTGACTCTCCAAATTTGGAGAGCCAAACTCACTCTCTATAATTAAATGCAATCAAAGTGTTTCAATTTTCAATATAGAAAAACAATAAGATAATCTAAAGAAAAACTAGTTATAATAAAAGATAAAGAAAAATAATAAATATTTTTTTAAAGTAATAAAATTAAGTATTAAATATAAAGAATTTGTTGGACTACAATATTTTAACTCTCTAAATTTATAGATGATCTCCAAATGATAGAATATGCTCTTTAAAAATAGAAAGTATCTTGGAGATGCTCTCACCTTTACAAATAGTCATAGACTGATAGAAGTTTATGGAAAATTTGAAGTTGATCCTTATGGTACTTTTCTTACGCATTTAGTCACTAAAATTAATTAATCACATACTATTGGCCTTTAAAGTATTTTATTTAACTCATTTTCACTAAATTAATCAATGTTACACCATTAATCACTCTAATAACAATAAATCAATTATACAATTAATTATCACGTGATGAATAAAAGAATATAAAGAGCAATTTTGAATTCCGCACAAACTTTAGTATTCATTTGTGATATTAACTCCTAAGAATTGAAAAACACAACCATTGCCAAACATCTTTCTAAGCCCTTGTGTTGGAGTGACTATCTGAAAAGTGATTTTTCAGCTAATCTGTAATTAACAAATGAAGAAAAATTATGAAAAAAGAAAAAATAATTTTATTTCTTTTAAAATGTTGAGATTTAAAATAAATATGGAGGGAAAAAAATGATTTTCAAACTTAGCCCTCATCGTGTTTCATTTTTTTCTCTAAACTCATTCTCGATCATGTTAAAAACACAACTTTTATCGATTTTTCGACTACGTGTTTAATCAACTTATATCAAAATCTACTAATAATCATATTTTTTTATCCAAACAAGGGCTAAACTATCAATTCACCGAAAAAAAAAGGTGAATTTTTCAAATTTAATTTCATTCAAGTTTAATTCCTCCTTTTCTATCTCCTTTTCTTACAAGAAAAGAGACTAGAATGAAGACAATCTCCGTTCACAACTTCCTTTTCCATCAACCATTTGGATCCAATTCTCTTGTTGGCCTAAAAGTGAATTCTCAAGACATTTAAAAGCCAACTACCGGACATCTCACTCCAATTTCTCCGACTTTCTTTCAAGTATCACCTTCCTTTCGGAATAATTATCATCATTTCCAGAACAAAATTGCATAATAATCCACGGAAAATTAATTCCAAACCATCTTCTCTCTTCTAAATAAAAAATATACAGCTCAATATATGTCAAATCATGACGTTCAAAATGGTTCCCGAACAATTTGCAATTATATCAACGGAGTCTCATTACATCCATGAAGATGGCCCACTGAAAGCTACCTCCTTAAAGCACCGTAATTTCTAGTTACCTGCAAATAAAAACTTGATAAGATTAATTACAAAGTATTTCACAGAAGTATATATGTGACCTGAACAACAAGAAATAATAGAAGAAACGTTAGCAGACTCTAGATCATTCACCTTCCATCCCTCCCAGCTAACTTAAGCTAGACTGATCTCCAGTGGACAGAAACAAAAGGAACTCTATTTCATTTAAATCATCAGAATAGGCTCTACTAGTTGTCAGACACATTGAGCTCTCGAAGAAAATTACAAGTCGACATAGAGATCTTATAAAATGAACAAGCCAGACAGAAATATTGCAGCACCCTGCCTAAATGTCTAACTACAATAAACTTCTAAGAGATCACTCTGGGACTTCCATCTCTCGGTTAGCGTCCCAAAATCCAATAGCGTTCTCTATATGCTGTTTTTTAAGAAGGTACTAATGCAACTACAAATTACTAGAACCATTGTTAATGATCACCAAAAGTTGGAGTCCTCTGCAATTTTCTTAATGCTCCCGTGCTCTCTGCAAATGCAGCTTCTTGAGATTGATTATTTATAATGCACAAGTCTTTTAGCTGTTCTCTATATTAAATTATTTTAAAAGTCAAGTATACAAAGATATTAAGCCCCTGTTTGACATCCATTACTTGAAAACTCTTTATTTTGCATACTCATTTTCAACCACACATTTACACAATAAAATATTCTGCACGTAACCCAAAAATTTTTCCTACTTTTTAACCACATTCTCCTAAAAATCAGTATTCAAAACATTGTTTTTCCCAAGTAACGATTGTCAAACAGGGGCTAAAACAGATTAGATCATGTTAGTGCGAACTAGGAGAATACAATTGATGAAACTGGCTATGATGACACAATTTCAGATAACCAGGCAACATGAGATACTGGGCACTGCACTTGGTTCCCATACCTATGGCTAGTTAGTATATATGGGTGAACTAATCTAGAGCAGAATATATAATTGTTTTATTAAGAACGCCACATACCGGAGGTTTAGGTTTATTAATTTTCTTTGCCACATCGTCATCGTCATCTTCATCGTCGTCATCTCTATTCATGAGCAATCTACTAAGCGAAGATGAAGAGTTATCTGATTTCCTCCCCCTCTTAGCGGTTGAGGTAGAGCCTCTACCCCTTCCCCTTGGTGCAGCTCTTTTTCTTCCTTTTCCTTGGGAAGCTTCACCGCCATCCTTTTGATAAGAAATACAAAACACAATATTCAAGTGCTTATATCCTAGGAGTCTTCAATAGGCAGAAATAGTAAAAAAGGTTAATCAGGATAAGACAAAAGTGGAACTCTGTAGGAGAAGTAAGAGTGCTCCAGATGCAAGTGAATCAAGGTATTTTTGTTACACAAGTACAAGGAAGGATGTACTCTGTTTGGCAGATTTTTCTTCTATCTATTTTCTACTATTTAGCCTTTCTTGCAGCAATTTGAGAGTAGAAAGGTCAACATGGCGATCATGGAAGAGATTCAGTTTTAGTTGCCTTAAACTAACATCTGAAAAGTTAAGTGGACTGGAATTAAAATATCCACGATGTACTTTTAGTACATTTGTTGCATTTTAAATTCGTGTCTGCATAATATTTACATTTTAGATGATGAACAGGTACAACAAAACCTTCTAAGAAGAGAGAATGGATTTAAATTAGAAAATAAGAATTCCATACCGAGCTGTCATCAATATCATTAACATCAATTTTAGCTGTTTCATCATTTGACTCTGAATCCACTTCATCCTCATTATCAGCAATTGTTCGAACTGATGCTGATGCAGCAGCTGATGCAGACCTACAATAAAAATGTCACTTAAAATATTGGAGCAAAAAATAACAATGGGATGAAGAATTAACAAACACTTAGAACTGGTTTTACTTTAGCTCTGTGTTTAACGATTTAGCCAAACCTTTGTGAATGACGGAAACCCATCACTGAATCTAATGTTGTCTGCTTCGATGTACTGGAACCCCTACCTCTCCCTCTGCCTCTTCCCCTTCCTCTTGAAGTCGTCTTTTCAAGTACGGAAACATCACGAGAGGACCTAAAAGATTGTGACGTCTCTTTTCTGCCCCTTCTGGTAGACTTTCCACCAGAGAATAGTGTAGTGTCCTCATCATCACTGAAGGAAACAGCATTTCCAACTCCTCCAGCACTTTTACTTCCACCCTACGTTAAAATTAACGCATCTAACTTGTAATGATTATGAAAGGGCCTGGAGAAGCACAAAGCCGGAAAACCAATTTTTGCACATTGGGCTAGAATATAAAGAATACCTGCAAGGACTGTTCACCAAACGTGACCTCTTGACCATCTTTTGACCCCATTCCTCTTTCTTTGACACGTGCCTGTATATAATCACATTAAGCCCCTACTTGACAACCATTATTTGAAAACTCTTTATTCTACATACTCATTTTCAACCATACATTCACACAATAAAATATTCTGCATAAACTCGAAATTTTTCCATACTTTTTAACCACACATCCTCCTAAAAATCACCATTCAAAACTTTTTTTTTGGCCAAATAATGGCGCCATCAAACAAGGGCTAAATTTGTAATGTCAAATTTTCTCCCACAATAGATATGATTTTACAGATATTTGATCACACTGAAGACCGCCAGTTTAAAAGTAACATACTGCAATACAAGATAAAGATCTTCATATTTACTTAGACTCTGCAAGTAATTTAAAAATAAGTGTAACTAGATTTTATTATTGGGCCTTGTGGTAGAAGGGAGAAGAAGATTGAGTAAGGGACTTGGTCGGGGAAGGCACCTTTAACCACAGGAACTAGTTTTCTCTACACCAACTAATTTTCATTGTGGGCAATGAAACTACCACTTCTTTTGGTTAGCAATAAAATTATAGACCAATACACATTGTGCTGAGGTCAATATTACTTGTATGCATAACCATATCCCTCATTGTGAAACCCAGGGTTGTGGTTATTAGTATGATTGACTTAACCATCTCTCCATTCGTATGTCAAGATGGAAAATCCACGAAAGGGGTTTCTGACAGCGTGACCTCCTTGGTCAGGACTGCCAAATAACTCAGTAGAATACCTGTTCAAATGCAAGTATCCATACCTACATCATACGTTAGCACATCACTTTACAATTCAAAATGTTCCAGGATATTAAGAATATGCTTCCAAAGAGACTTCAGTGGAGAAGTTGAATAATGCAGTTAAACCGGGTCTTATAATGGATTTAACAGATAATGCTCACAAGGGGATGCCCAACACACCCTATCCGATTCAAAGACATGTTATTGTGTTTGTTTGCTGCACATACATGGCCTAAATCAATAGCAAACACTAAAAAAGGAAATGAGAAAAGAGAAAACTAAGTTCTTGCCTCTAAGCATTCTCCAACTCTAACAATTACATCTTCATCTTCAAACTTCTGATTCTCTGAATCCCTGGCAATTTTATTCTGTTGAACCAGAGAATTTCAAATTACTAGAACAATCATGTCGATTATAAACAAAGATATAAACAAAGATCAATAAGCAAGCAATCAAAACAATGGTGACAAGAATAAGGTCATCATATTGAAGTGTTCCAATATACACAAGAAATTTCCCTGACCAATATGAGGATAAGATGTGGAGCACTCACACGAGTTTCTTCCAGGTTGTATTGTACACAAGAATAGAAAGCCATTTTGTCATCCTTACTAACAAAATTGTGTAATGCAACATCCAGATCGTTGACAGGGAGTATCTCCATTTTCTGCATATATAGATAGTAAAGTGGATTCAAACCAGAAATAAGAAAAATTCTAGAGATACTCTAACTTAGAAATTGTAGAGTCCTAATACTCTGAAGGGAAGAAGAGGCAAGACTTGATCTTATACCAGGTTACTTTCAGCAACCAATGCTTCAATATTTTGCTGATTCAGTTCTTCTGGACGGAGCCGTTCAGAATCATCAATTCTATCAACTGCAAAATAAATGTTCATCTCAGCAACCTCAAAGCAGATAAAGGAGAAAAATAACAAAGAATGTTTAATAGAGAAAAACATAACAAGTTCCATGAAACATGTGTTTGTGTTAATATATATATGTTACAGAAATATAAAGTATAAAGCTGAAGGTTAGACAGAACTACACAATATAATAAAGCGTAGTGCTAAATTTCAATATTAAAAGAGTAAGGCAATCAAGTTTTCCCAAAGTGAAATGTTGCTAAAGTAATTTGAGTAGGACTAACATGATTAGTAACAAGTAGTAATATATACTTCTCATAAGCTAAATAATCAAAAGAATACTTTGTTTTAAGTTCAAATGCTTGATTTGATGGAAGAAAATGGTAGACCTAAGAACAGAACTCACAAAAAGGTTTCAGTAGGTGACGTGAGTATATTAAAAATAAATAAAATATAATATTTCAGTTATCACTTGAAAGCTAGCATGTGATTCAGCTTGAATCTGTTCGGCCAGAGAAATGAAAAGTAAAATATCAGGAGCTTAATAAGATATTAAATTACCTTCACTGCGACCTTTTCTTGACGCTTTTGAGAATATAAGTATATCCTGAGGATTAGCTACCTAGAAATTTAAAAAGTCATAAAAATCATTCCCTGTAGATTTGTAGTGTGGTTGGGGAAAGGGAAAGAGGGGTATTGAGAGCATTCTCCTTCCTCTTTTTGAACATAAAAAACTAAAGAAAAAGGAAGTACCTTGCCTACAAATTTTTGCCCAAACCTTTGTGGATTTATCGTCATAAACCCAGAGTAATCTACCTGTACAATCCAATGGTGAAACATGGGGTAGATGAAATATTTCAGAACTGATAAACCATGAACAGTTACAAGTTGTTGAAATGGAGAAAACTATCACCTTCACTCGAACTAAGGGAAGTTTGAGTCCTGTTTTGTCAATAACCTTTTGGCTAGACCTTTCTATCAGATTTCTGACCTAAAACAACTCAGAGATTAAAAATAAGTAAAGTGCAGCCAAAACAAGTTTATAATACAACTCCAGCAACAAAAGAAATCAAGAAGAGAAAATAGTTCACTTGTGAAAAAATAGGTAAAGAGAAAAATAAAAAGATAAAATTATCGTACCACTTTGTCCAAATGTTCAAGGATTGAATTCTGATCATTAGGATCAATATCAGGTTCATCTTTTAATACTACCTGCAAATAGAATATTGATTACTTCAAATAGAGGTTCCTTCAATCTTAGATGGAGAAATGAATCTACCTCTGCATATTCAAAGGGCCTCACTGAGTTGAGAGGTAACTTGGTTGGCCGATATTGATTCCCCTAGTTGTCAATAGGTATCATGAATATAAAGTAAATTAATAATTTTAGAAAAGAAAAAAAGCAGCGTGAATTTAAATTTAAAAAAAAAAGGCAGAAAGATCAAATGAAAAGAAAAAGAAATAAATTAATTAATTAACGCAACCTTAATCTCTAGAAGAAGCACGTGTTTTGGCTTTGATTCACCATCAATCAGTGACGTTGCGACCGATGAACCTGGTTGAGTAATGTGGAAACCCATGCCAGAAACTTCCTGTAACCCAAAGATTTTAACCAGACAATGACTGGAGAGAGAGAGAGAGAGAGAGAGAGAGAGACTTAAGCAGATAGGAACCTGAGGATCAACTAGACATTCATGTTCATGTCCCCAGACGATAAAATCCAAAAACCGTGGCAAGAAATGCTCATTTATAGCATTTTTAGGATTCATCTTCACTCTGAAAACACAAATCAATATCTGCTCATTAAGTTCCTTCTTAAAGAATGATATTCTTCAATGTCTCTATCATCATCCATTATACAATAGAAAGAAAAGATAAGTTGGAATTATTACCTATTTTGATGAAGTACTAGGATGTTGAACCAATCTGAAACTTGATGACCTTCTTGAGCTTCAGGTCGCATCCACTGCACTGCATGTGGCGTCTAAGGGGTCAAGATAGATACTCGATGAGTGATTCTGTGAGGGCATTTATCCAAAACAATCAGAATCAAGAAGCAACTCACTGATACCTGAAACATTCGATTCAGACGCTCATCTCTGATATTCCCAAGGCCATAAAGAGCTATAGATGTTGAGCCCTATCAATCACAAATCGGAAGTATTTAAACAAATTATATAAATGCCACAACTCAGTCACTCATAAGAAATCCATAACCAAACCTTCTTGATAAGAATAGGGTAGAGGGTGATCTGCCCAACTCCTGAACCTTCAAGAACCATTTTTCCAAAATAGTTCACAAGATTACATGCTGAAAGGATATCAACTGCAGAAAGATTGTCCTGCCACAAGAAATATGATCATAACAAGAATGGCACGAGACAGAAAAATGTTTGGTGTTATTAAATACTTAGACACACAAATTAACCAAATTAATGTGATTAGACAGCCGATTGAAGGATGTGATTATATAAAACTAGGAGTTTAAACAAGCATCTGAGTACTTTCTCAAAGGAATTATACAAGAGAATGTTATTCGTAACTAGCCTAAAACACGAGGTTTACAGTCATCTAATCAGTATAACACTTTCAGAGCAAGAGAAAATGCCTTGTAACTGGCACAGAATTCTTCTAAAGAGACGCACAGCATTTGCCATAGAATCCTTACCACTCCAGCAGGATCATCGTGATTTCCATGAATGCTGAAAACTGGTAATCCAACATTGAAGTGAGGATCTTCATAGTTCACGTGTCCAAATCTGCTTGACGAAAATAAGGGCATTTTAAAAAATCAGTAATGATGTTAAAAACAACACAGAGACTACTCAAAATCATTAAAGACCAGAAGAGAATACTAAATCAGAAAATAAAGGATGAAATCCAAAACGGAGGAGAAGACACGAGTTTCACCCATTTATAAAAAATTTGCATTTCTTAGACCTTTGAATCTTTGATAAAAAGTGAATCATGTCTGCATGTGAAATGGCATACCTTGTCTCCTCATGTTTAATCTTTTAGATGAGGTTGTTCATCATGGTAATAGAGAAGGTACAAGCAATGTTTGAAAAGCCTCGAGGCTATCCGAGGCATAACCCTCAAGAAAACAAATAAAATAATAAAAAAGAATATAAAATATAAAAATACGCTTGTAATAAACTATAAACCATCTTAAAACCCATAATATATAACTTAACAAGATTAAATTCATAACTAGCATTAAAATAGATAGCTAGTCATCACTATCAATTTTCTTTACTTTGTCATAATCTTTGGCCTGCAAACATGTCTTCTCCATCCCCATTACCTTTCATATAAAGGCAATTAAAAAAATAATAAATAAATAAAGGTTATTGAGCAATAGCCTACGAGTTCAGGCAAACAAAAACAAAGAAAAAAAAATCAGAAAAGGCAAAAAAATAGAAAAAACACAAAAGTCATAAGCAACAGTAACTCAGGGTGTAACAAAATGGCACTTGAGGTGTAAGTTTTGAGGCATTCAACAAAAATATCATACGTAGCAGGACTCGAGGCATAAGCCTCAAATAGCTTTATTAAACAATTGGTACAACCATACAAGTACTTATGCAAGTATCACCGCCACGTTTTTACAAAAGTTGTCCACATGTCAAGCTTTTGATTTAATCAAGTGGGAGAGACTTGAACTTGGAGAGTCCCTAATCCCTTCTTCCCTCCCTTGTTCGTATCCCCCAATACACATTGCAACATTTACATTATCTTACACCATTCCATTTATGTTATTATAAGAAAACTTTTAGATACACTTTACTCCAATTCTTGAATTCCCTTGTACAATCCGAATCTAACAGATTTGGAGCAACACAACTTTTTGATAATGCAATCATTATTAGTAGCATTCTAGAAGAGAGACATAAAAGAGGATTTTGCACACATCAACAATGTTTGAAGAAGTGATTTGTAGTGGTGACTGGTGAGAAACTAAAAACCCAAAAGGAAGAGGATAATGAGCTGCTCAATGTGAACGACGAGAGCGGTAGGAATCTTAACAAGAAGAATGAATTACATGATGGAAGTCGATGCAACAATTACAGCCATGATTAACTTGAACAGATTGTGATAGAACTAAGTTTCAAGAATGAATATTTGAAGCCTTGGCTACAAAACATGAAGAATCTACTCCTTGCCAGCGTGAACAAAATAAAGCTATGGAGCTGGACCATTCAACATCCTATTATGATGTCAGAGAGATACGTCAAAACTTAGAATCTTTGAAAAGAGAACTCCTAGTGGAATTACAAACTCAAGAGTAATGCAGAAGAGGCTCTAAAGCATCTTGGAGCAGCACGCTTGGAGGCAGACACGAAGGCATAAGAGCTTTCTGCCAAACTTGCTGAAGCTCCACAGAAGAAGGATCAAGAATGGAGAAGGCATGACAAGAAGTATAATGAACTTGATTCCAAGATCTACAGGCTTCGAAAAAAAAAAAAGCAAAGCAACGTACTCGAGTTGCAGAAGGAAAAAGATGATTTTGAAAACCAGTTTCATGAAGTTAATGAGAAAGCTGACAGTGCATCATCAGAGTCGTCAGCATTGCAGCAAGAGCTGATGCACACATACCAGTGTGCTAATAAACCGCTGGAAGCAATGATGTAGAAATGCAACAATTGCGAAGGGCAAACAACTTCAGGATAACATTGAAGATCTTTGAAATACAATGAGCTTTATTCTTTGTGCAATATTACCACATTATACGACATCATATAAAAGTTTAAGCTATTAGAAAGAAACTCATATATTTGTTTAGCCCTTGTTTGATCCCCATTTTTTTCAAAATACATTTTTCTCTCTTCTTTTAAACCTAAAACCATACATTTTTCAATAAAATAATATTACACCAACCCGAAAACTTTTCCTTCATGTTTAACCACACATTATCCATCAATCTACTATTCCAAAATGAATTTTACATCAAAAGATGGGGCTCAAACAGGCCCTTAAATTTAGCCTTCAAAATCAAAATGTCTATCAATTGATTCCTATTCATTCGGTCAAAGTCTCCACGGCCTTTTCACGCCCCTCCACTAAGGGATGCACCATGTTGATAGGAATCGGCGAAGACCTTCTTGCACATGTCTTCAAGGGCAGCATTCATTGCAATCATCACTAGTTTCTGCCGAGGGCATAGTCATAGTATGGTTTTGTTCTTGGTGTTGTTTAATAAATGTCGAGTGATACAGCTACTGGGACTAATGGGATTTGGATTTCGGTGATGATGTACCACAGAGACAAAAAGAATCCAACTAAAAATGTAAAAGGAACTATAAAAATATTTTCCATGCATGCAAAGTGTCAACTTCAGATAAAAAAGATGAGGGAAAACAGGACATAATTTGTTTGTTGAAATATTAAAAAAAAAAAAAGATAGAACATTACGAATTTGCAAAGTTCACTGTCTGGTCACTGACGACTTGAAACTGCACTGGTTGATTGTTGAGACAGTGGCGGCGAAGAATTTCAATGGCTTTCACTAAAGTTGACCTTGATGGCTTATTCTCATGGAAAAGATCGCCGCCAAGTAGTAAGAAATCCACCTGACATCAGTTCACTTAAAAATTATGCTACAGTAAATGGTCGTTGATTACTTAATTACAAGCACAGTAAAGTTAAGATTAACATAGTAACAAACACATTGCACTTGACAGAATATTTAAGCACGAGAATTCATTAATTGGTTCAGAATCCACCTATTTCTATAAATTTCAACTTTAATTTCGACTTTTATTGGTTATGAGACAACGTCAACATATCAAACAGAATGTAAAAATTTGTATGTACCTGTTTTTGCTCCGCAATTGAACAAATCTCTTCAAATGCCTGAAATGAATCGTGCCTGCGAATTTCATCCTTCTCCATATAACCAAGGTGACAATCAGTAGCCACTAATATTCGCAGCACATCGCTAGTATCTTCCCTGCAAAATTTAAAAATAAACTTAAAAACATATTTCAACTTAAATAGTTCTCATACATAAATAAAACAACTAATATATTCAGATCATTTAATTTGCAGATTAGTAAGAAAATATTAATTTCAATTGCATTGTTGTGACCAATCCTTAGCTTTTCCCTTTCACATTACCTTGACGAATCGGTCATTTGGAGAAAGTTTCGCTTAAACCTGCCAATAAAAACCGCACTATGTTTGAAAATCCAATATAAATAACTTCAACAGTATAGTATAAAAACCCTAGGTCAAACATTTAATACTAAATATACGTCGTGTTAAGAAAAAATTCGCACCAAACTAGAGACAGAAATAATGGACTCAGCGATGAATAAAAGGGAAAAAAAAAAAAGGAGTTTCATTTACCAGGGAACGGAATTGAAGGAGGCGAGGAGCTTCGCCGGTGGAGCAAAGTACTGAGGAGTGGCGGGGAATTTAAAATAACACCGAAAATAATGGCCAGGTACCACTGTTACTGTTACTGTTACTGCTACTGCACACGCGCGTGCTTGGTTGGGGAGGGGTGTTTCTAGCCCTATTGGATAACGAAATAATTTATTTACGAAAAGTGAAGTCCTTGTTGAGCCCCTTCATTTCAATCCCAATCTGGCGGGGTTTAAAATTAGATTTTAGGCTCTGTTTGAACCACATTATTTTTTTCATTCTCATTTTTTACTTATTTTTAACTACATATTTTTCAATAAAATTATATTTTTCATTACATCAATAATTTTTCTTTCTTTTTCAACCACATATTCCCCATCATATCAACAGTAAAAATGCATTCTTTTTTCAAAAATGTGCACCAAACGGGGGCTTAATAAAAATTGATAAAATATGTGCTTAAAAAATTGTGAGATACATAAAATATATGGTTAGAATTGATTGTTAACTTAAATTAGGCTTAGAATTTATTTTTTAAAACTCATTTTCAATCTTATATTCTTTAATAAAATAATTTTACACATAAATCAAAAACTTTTTCTTAGCCCCTGATAATACCAATCCTTGAGAAATCCCGAGCACTAATGCCCGAGGAGTTTATGTCACATCTAAGCTAGAATCTTATGATCTCCTCGGACTCATAGTAGACATCATAGGAAGTAAAGTCCTTATGAGAATTATTATTTGATTTGAAGCTACTCCTCGAGATTCTAACACGTTTAGAATTATTATTTGATTTGAGCTGCTCGAGATACGGAGCTTGTAGCTCCTCGAGATCCTAACACGTTTAGAATTATTATTTGATTTTATCTGCCCAAGATACAGAGCTTGTAGCTCCTCGAGATTCCAACACGTTTAGAATTATTATTTGATTTTATATGCTCGAGATACGGAGCTTGTAGATCCTCCAGATTCTAACACGTTTAGAGTTATTATTTGATGTGTGCTGCTCGAGATACGGAGCTTGTAAGCTCCTCGAGATTCCAACACGTTTAGAATTATTATTTGATTTTATATGCTCGAGATACGGAGCTTGTAGCTCCTCCAGATTCTAACATGTTTAAAATTATTATTTGATTTCAGCTGCTCGAGATACGAAGCTTGTAAGCTCCTCGAGATTCCAACATGTTTAGAATTATTATTTGATTTTACCTGCTCGAGATACGGAGCTTGTAGCTCCTCGAGATTCTAACACGTTTAGAATTATTATTTGATTTCAGCTGCTCGAGATACGGAGCTTGTAAGCTCCTCGAGATTCTAACACATTTAGAGTTATTATTTGATTTTTACTGTTCAAGATACGGAGCTTGTAGCTCCTCGATCTCCTAACACATTCAGAATTATTAAATCAACAAGCAAGACTAGTCAGGCAACAAACCATGTGAATATTAAAAGCAAAAGAAATCGATGTTTGGCCCTGGTAGGGCAATATAGATAATAAAATTTTTAAAAAAAAATCTTCTTCAGTGTTCGGGGTAGGGACACAGGCCTATTCCTGGCCATCAATCGTTGGGGGCTTCGAAACCTTAAGTTCCTCATCGGCTCCATCCTCATCCTCGATCAATGTACCCTCTGACGACGACAACATGAGCCCTTCAACGGCTTCGGGTGACGATGTCAAGTCATCGGCATTCACCTCGAGAAGTTTTGCGCGAAGGTACGCCCGAGCCTGTTTGAAGGCATAATTGTATGAGCCTAGGGCATATTCACCCTTTATTGCCCTGAACTTCTTCGACCTCTTGAAATCTTCAATTGCCATCGCCTTAGATTCCTCGAGTCAGCCTCGAATTCTTTAGTTTTACGCTCGAGTTCGAGCTTGGCTTTCTCAGCCTCATCCCTCGACACCCTGATTTCATCTGGAGCCTGTCTCAGTGCCGTCTTCAGCTCGATATTCTCTTTCGATCGACGAGCACCTTCAGCCTCGAGTTCCAGTATTTGTTGAACCCGTTGATCGAGCTCCTCCTCGAGCGAAGTGACCTTTTTTGCCTCCTTCTCACCTCTTGAGGCCAATGCTCGGGCTACGGTCGATGCCTGCACACAGAATTTCACAAGTCAACGTTAGAATTGAGGTTGAAAGGTTTTATAAAAAATACAAGTACAAACCCTGATGTACCTTCAGTGTTAAAGCCTCGACCGCCTTCACACCCTCAACCATGCTAAGCTCATTTCCATGGTACTTCTCGAGGAGCTCAGGAACCAGCGTACATTTCCCATCCTCGATGGTTGAGGATTAAAACTAAGGAATCTCGTCGTCGAGGTCGATGACCACGGGTGTCCCTCGATGAACATTGGCACGAGGAGTTTGTTGGGCATAAACCTCGGGCTGCGTGGCTCAGTCTTCAGGGGTCGACCCCAGAAGGTTTCCCAGGGCCACTCTTCAGATGTTCGGGTATCCTTTCCCGAAGGCATTTCTTACTTTTCTTGTCAGTCTGTTTGGTAGGGGCACCCTTCGGCTTTTGTTGTACTGCTCGGCGGAGATCAGAAGGGTCGAACGCCATCTCAACAATTGCCGTAACAAAAAAAAAGTCATTAGATCGAGGAACTATACAGCCCAAAGATAAGATTATGAATAAGAAGTTGCCCTACCCTAAACACATTTCACATTAGCGAGGTCGAGGACATCGTCCCCTACCAAGTCATCTAACTTGAACGCTAGGGCTCGAGCCCTACCAAGCACTGCCTATCCCTCTCTAACACCTCAAAATAAGTTTGTCATTCATTAAAATACTCAGTATTCGGTGTAGCCCACCGAGGACTGAATGGGTGATCGGGGTCTTGAGGACGATTGTAAAAGAACTTTGATTTCCACCCTTTGAGTGAGCTCAGATGCCCGGGACTTTAAACTCACCTCGAGAAGATAAATAGACGAAGCGGTTGAAGCCCGAGAGTGTTTTCAGTTCGAAGACCATCCTGAGCAGGTCTAACCTCGGGTTTATACCTAAATACCTACAGGCTATGAAAAAATAAATGAGCAGCTCCACCCATTAGGGACTACCTGCCCGAGACACATACCGAACTCGACAAGGAATTCAATAAAGAATGGATGGAGAGGCCACCTAAGCCCACCCTTTAAAGCCTCCATGAAAACAACAATCTTCCCCTCCTGAGCAGTGTTCACTCTATCCTCGGGTCCAGGAACCCGGACATCACAAGCAGGCATTATTCCAAATTCCAGAGCTATCCCAACTACATCGTGCTCCTTATACCTACATCTAAGGTCGAGAAATAAGAATGCATACTGGCTGTCCAGTCCATTGTGAAGGCTGAGCAGCCTCATTCAATGGGCTGGACAGCCCCATTCCAATGGCTGAGCAACCCCATTCAATGGGCTGTCTAGTCCATTGTGAAGGCTGAGCAGCCGCATTCAATGGGATGTCCAGTCCATTGTGAAGGCTGAGCAGCCTTATTCAATGGGCTATATAGCCCCATTCCAATGGTTGAGCAGCCCCATTGCAATGGCTGAGCAGCCCCATTCATTGGGTTGACTAGTCCATTGTGAAGGCTGAGCAACCCCATTCAATGGGTTGTACAGCCCCATTCTAATGGCTGAGCAGCCATATTCAATGAGCTGTATAGACCATTTCAAAGAGTGTCCAGTCCACTACAGAAATGGGTCTTTTCACTTCAAGGACTATGTGCATCGCATCCCAAGATCTCAAGCATCGATCTCTGGCATGAATGCACGGGGGCCACTGATGATCCTTGAAAAATCTCGAGCACTAATGCCCGAGGAGTTCATGTCACATCTAAGCCAGAATCTTATGATCTCCTCGGGCTCATAGTCCTCGGGCTCGGGCTAGGGCTAGGGCTAGATCGACCTGCAACTCATTCTTGAGTTCGCTACCGTAGCCTCAAACCATGCAGCCCCTAACTCATTAGAAGCCTACTCCGTGCTAAGACATCCTGGAAAGTAAAGTCCTTATGAGAATGTGTTACCACATTCTAAGAAGATTCTAACACCAGAGTCACATAACCATCCAAACACGTGGGTAATACGAAACCAACTACACTACAACTTCCAATTACACTAGGACTCCAAGGTATCTCAACATTGTAGTCCTATTAGGAGTCCTCCACCTACCTCTATAAATACATCATTCTCATCCATTATCAAGGTATGTTTTTACACACAATTTACAGCAAATACTATTTTTATAAATTCTCTCTCTGACTTAAGTATCGGAAGGGCGACAAGGACACTCCTCGACGCCTTTGTTTCAGGTACCGAAAGATCTCGTTCGTGCTCATTCTCAGTCGTCGAGATCGGAGTCAACATGTACGAATTTTGGTAACATCAGCCCCTATTTGATAATCATTATTTCGAAACTTTTTTTCTACATCCTCATTCTTAACCACTTATTCACATAATAAAATACTTTACACGTAAACCATAAATTTTTTCATACTTTTTAATCACACATTTTTCTAAAAATCACTATTTAAAATATTATTTTTTTAAAAATAATGGCCACCAGACAGGAACTTATTTTTTAATCGTACACTTCCAAATAACATTAGTTAAAATATTAATACACATGACAAGTAGATATGAATGAAATGAAGTAAAAATTTAAGATATAGATATGAAAAAAGTAGAGAAAGAATTAGCAAGAAGTACTTATATCGTTATTGTAGCCCATGTATTTTTCAAGTTCATCAAACTGAGTGAATGTGTATGTTGAAAACAGGACTTCCATGTTAATCTCGTTCACTTCTTGAACTCACATCTTTCCAGTTATTGTCCACTGCACGTTACCATTTAAAGCTTTCTATTCAGGTTTCGTGTCCTTCACGAGAGAATTTGAAATGATGTATGTTTTGCTCACTAAAAGCTGATCTTCAAAGATAGTAATGTTCCTATCATACAATGTTGCGTTCACTTTGTTTCCGTATGGCAGATAAAAATGGAAAATATTATAAATACTGGTTCATATAGTAATGTTTCACCTAGAAAAATAAAGGATGATAGCTTATATTGCTTTATCTGAAGCGATTTACCTCAAAATCTATGAGCACTATGTTTTGATATCTACTGTTACCATTTTTTACTTGTTTCGGGGCCAATTTCTCTTCAACTATTACCTTGGCTTGCTAGTTCTTTTGATTTGGACTAATTCCTAGTATCAATTTACAGTTCCCTATCATCTTGTTGAGTCTGGAAAAAAGATAAAAAGATTAAAGAGAGACAATGCAAAATCACTTTAGTACTAAATGTGCAAAAGACATGCATATATATATATATATATACTCATATCAGAGTGCTGAAGTGTTTTGACATTTCATTTTGTTAATGTGACAGCTCAGATATGCATATTTTCTTCTTGCATAATTTGTTGCAAATACGGCTGTAGGTATACATAAGTTTCGCTAAAATGGCTAGTCAGATATGTAGACAGAAAATATGAAGCCCAAAAAAATGAATCACAACCCAAAAAAAAGTAAATCATGTTAAAAAAAAAGTTGTGTAAATCGCCCTATTAAAATACATCCAAAAAACCATATTTCTAAATTAAATGGACAAAGATATTTACAAATAGCTTGTAAAAGAAATAATAAATCTAACCAATAACATGATAACATTGTTGAAAATTTCATTGAACAATACTTATATATCGCCACCCTCATAATACGCGGTAATCATACAAACGTAGCAAACCTACATTAATATTTTGCAATGAATAGCTCAGTTGGGGAAAATTCTAGCGATATTTTACTAAATAAGAAGAAATAATCAAATTGCAGCAATAAGTAGAAAATTTTTGGTTTATACCTTCTCTACCCATGCTTCATTGAATTCAACAATGTATGGATGTTTATCTTTGTGATTAGTGCATCTACTAAACAAAATTTCCGAAGCACTTCTTTAACTTTCTTAGCCAATAATAGTATGCATTGGAACATATATATGCATTATAGGATCCCACAATATAATAAAAGATAAAATTGACATAGAGACTCTTTAATGATATAACCAAGAAAAAAGGATAGGTCAATCAAGAAAATCAATTAATCAAGCTGAGCAAGAAATCACATTTAGCCCATTAACCGATTGGAACATATTTCCAAGTACACATTTGACACACATTATTATAAAGATTTAGCTCCATTTTTTTTAATTGCCAATTGTTGTACGATTCACATTATTGATTATGCTGCAAGAGTAAGACATCATTTTCATTTTCATTTTCAAGGTATTTCAAGCGATGTTACTTCATTTAACCAAACATGACATTTCTAGAGGAGAGTCTCTTTCCGAAAAATAACGCAACCCAAGTATGCGATATCAGTTGTAGTTATTGAAATGAGATACACCACACTTTTCAATTATTTTTACAAGCTACACTATTCATCATTTAATACCCTTTAGAGAAATGATGAAGCATAAACTGTACATTAAAGTACGGCAAAGAACAATTTCACACAAAGATAGCAAAGCCATGAGATGTACAAAAAATGATAGAATGATAAAGAGGAAAGAGAATAATTTCCCAAAATTAATGGAGTCAAGGTATGCACGTTCAAATTCATTAATCGAAAGTAAAAAATTAAAATGTCCTATTCAACAGTGTTCATTCACTTGTCTAGACTCTAATTATGAAATTGAATCAATCAATATATTCAAGCCTTTAAAGTCATAATCCAGTAAAATGGCAATTTCTCTATGAACTGTAATTACTTGAATTGTATTTTTGCAAGTTCATTCACCAATACTGAGGTTACTAAAGCAAATTACTCAAAAAAATATGAAGACGTCCAATATAATATAACAGACAAAATAGTACACAAAACAAATTCCTTAATCATGACAATTAAACAATAAAATGAAAATAAAACTTAAATAATTATAAAAGGTAATATACACCAGTATGCCTCTAGATGAGCAAATCTTTTGCAACACTGTCTTTGTCCAGCCAACCAAATCTTCTATAGAACATACCTACATTTTGTTCATTTAAAGAATAAGGAGAAAAATTGTTAGATTTTTGACGTACTTTAAAAACATTTTTTACTAAAAAAAATATGAAAAGATACGTAGGCGTATAATTTCTTTCCAGCTTGTGATTGATCAAAATGGCTGCCCAAAAGCTTGTTAAGCAATTCTCTCCATAATCTTGTACTGATCCATTCTTGACTTCATTAGTCACCAATATTGAATCTCAAAACCTAAAAAATGAACCTTCAAAACTGTATCACAACAAATACGCCCTAGTCTACAAGGCAATATTCTGAACTAACTGTGCCATAAAGTAATAATGCACATTCAATGAAACTCGCACACATTAATATAATTAAGTCATGGAAGAAATGATAGTACTAATAGATATAGATTGCTCAAATATTCAACGAAAATACAAAAATTCATATATCAATTAGTTATTCAATTTAAACAGTTGAAGTAAGAACATTTTTAAAATTTTTTTTTACGAAAAACTACTATTTATATAACTAAAGCTATATATGTTAAGAAAATAATCCTCTAAACTAATAATCTGACACAAAAAAGTCAAGTCAACAATACAATATAGAAGTTTTGGAAGATTGACAAGAACCAACGATTTTTATAAAACATACAATTCACAGTATTTCGAACATACTCTTAAAAAAATGCTATGAAGATCTTATGAAAGCAAGAATTTCTTGGTAGATGACATTTTTGTGCATGTATTATGTGCAGTAGATTTGTGTGATGGTTTTATCAAAACTTTAATAGCTTTACTTGTTTTGGCTCTTGACAGAGTAACATATAATTGTCCATGAGAAAATACAGGTTCCAATAGATAGACCCCAACAAAGTCTGAAGTTTGATCTTGGGATTTGTTTATTGTCATTGCAAAACATGGGCGGAATGAGAATTGAGTTCTTTTAAAAGGAATTGAAGTTTTATTACTTTCAAGCGGTAAAAACCGAATTCCAGGCAAAAATACTCATTTTTCACGATATTCTCCAATAGCAATTTCTGCATCAACCACATTTCTCTCAAATTTTCGACAAACAAGCCTTGTTCCATTGTAGAAACCTTCAGACTGATTAATATTTCAAAGCAACATAACAAGACAATTCTGTTTTAATGTGAGTTCATGTGGTGGAATACCATTTGGAGTTAGTGTATTTAAAAAATCTTCTTGGATACTTTGTTCGGATTTGTCAATGACTTCATCAAAACTATAGTATGTAAATATCTCCCAAGGAATTTCTTTTAGTGAAATATTGTTCATTTGATCGACACGGTCATTTTTCAGTGTCAAAATGACTCTATTAATCATAGTATCTAAAAACCACATTAATCAAATGTTTCAAA